AAAAAGTCCTGTCGTACAGATATGTAGACTATTATCTAATAAGAAATGCCAAAGATTTATTAACTAAGGAATAAGATGTTTAAAATATAAAAAACTGGAAGGAATATGATATTTACGAAAGAAACATAACTGAACATAGTAATGACCAACTGGAAAAGGAATTACATGTGTTAACGATACCATAATATCTTGGGATTTTTTCCGTTAGAAAAAATCGACTGATGTAATAAATCATGATATTAATATGAAGGTAATAACAATTGAGGTGAATCAATAATATAGGTAAGTCTTTCTTAAAAATCAAACTTGCTTCAAGAGATATTTCTTGCAGGTCCAGTGAGAGGCCGTGACCAACGGAGTTGTGAGATAGTAAATCATTGAAGACAATGGTGGACGGTGGTGCAGTCCGGTTGATTGGTTAAAGTTAGACATTAACATAGTTGGATGACCGCTCAGTGATCTAAAGGTTAAGTGTTCATACGCAAGACCGATAGGTTCCGGTATGCGCACTGTTGAGAACACCCACAGTTGGACGAAACGGTCGTCCAATGCTTCCAGATTTTCAATGGTGGTCTAGCATAGATCAACTTAACTGTTAAAGTTACTTCACTTTCCACAAAACCTCCTTCTGATAAATCTGAATAATTATAGAATTAAATAAACACTTCCCCCGGATGATGATACTTAAAATGAAATTAAATATTAAATACATCTAATCAATTAATTTTATATTAGTAATGAGTACATGTTTGACAAAATGTTTTCGAGGACAACGTTTTCTAACCTTTCTTCTAACATGGATTGAGAATACAGTAGATAATTTCTATTGGACTATCAAATGATTATCAGCTTTTACATGATACAATTTCTGATTCCTTACATTAGCTAAATCTGGTGTCAAAATTATACTGTTACTGAAATATAATATTGAATTTAATAATTATTTGGAATCGCACTATATTTACCTTTTTGAAATTCGTCAATCTGTATGAAAACCACTCAAGCTAATTCACTAATTAGTTTGTTAACCACTGAGTTTATAAATTCAAGCAATTGACTAGTTATAAGAAACATGGTAATAATTGATTTTTATTGAGATCATGAACCGATTGATGTTAGACCATCATTTAAAACTTCGAAGCACTGGACAGCCACTTCGTCTTATTGTGGGACTCCTCAGCAGTGCTAATCCACGACCCGAATGCGTGAGTCCCACAATAGGACGAAACGGCTGCCCAGCGCTTCCAGGTTTTCAATGGTGGTCTAACACCAATCGATTCATGATCTCGATCAAGAACTTAATAATCTCTACGACCCTATACTGAAAATCGTTTTTGTTTAAATAAAACACATGAGGCACCACATATAAAGCAAATAAAAAGCCAAGATAAGCAGTGTCTTTAAACACTGTTCGACAGATTTTAGAATGAATATGTTATTCATCAAGCGAAAATAGATTTAACGTAAGTAAGAAAGGTATTCCGCTAGTAAAATATCTAATTGCCAAAACTCTCCAAGTCTATTAATCTCATACTTGTCCAGATACTCGACAATTATACAACGTGAGGATTAATCATGTTACTGAATCCTACAAACAGAACATATTAAATATTCAGTATATCATTATTCCCCAAGTGATATACGCTCGTGATAAGTGCCAATTCTTAAATCAAAGGGCATTATTAATTTAGGTAAGAATTGCATTGAAGCAAAGTAATTGTAACTAGCTGAATGGCTACGGCTAAAAGGAAGCTCAGCCATTAAAATTTGAATTTTTCTAAAAACGGAGTAAGATTTAACTCCCTTATATAAAACATTAAACCCTTTTTATGGTAAACTCAAATTTAATTTACGATATTCTATCACATAATAATGATAAGCAATTTACGAAAAGGAACCAGAATTTGCCTCATAATTTACGTTTTGCATAGTTGTGAATGTATATCCAATTATGGTTTAGTGTGAATATCTACAACTTCTTTGTTTTCACGAATTATATTTCTTGTCACTTATAATCTTCTGTTATTCCTATTCTTATTCCTTTTACAGAACTAACCAACTGAAACATATTCAATGTATATGACTAAATTATATTGATGGATATAATCGATATCCTACTGATATTACACTAGTTAGACTTCAAACAAAATGTAGATTAATCTGATTTATCTTAATTAATAGGCACAAATAAGAAAAGAATAACCATAAAAATGTGATTATTTATTTGAACACATAGATATTGGTACAAGGAGGCACCAAATACATATGCACCCCACAAATCTCAGTCGATGTGTGAAGGCTGTGATACTGCCCGGATGCCCAAACCGAAGCAGGTGGTTTTCTTAGGGGGCCACACCCCGAGCCTTTGACCTAAGGGTCTGACCCATAAGGCAGTGGAGCATCGTAAGGAGATGCAGTCCCATGGAAGCCGGTGACCAACGATTGGTTCATACGCCATTTGTTCCCTCAGGATACTGGAGCCCATGTGCATCATTGGTTTGGAATCCGGTTAAAGCGCCAGACATTCGCTTTTTGTCCTCTCATTTTCGTAAACAACACCCCAGCCACGAGAAGGCAGTGAGTAGGACTTCCCTGGCAGAGGCTATATACGCGTGGCCATGTGAGAGCATTTCGAGAGGGAGAGCGGACTCTCCCCACTCTCGGCCGTACCAGGGCAAGTAAGTGCGATTTCCACATCGGTTTTTTAGACTAATCTGATAAATATTTACTTGAATTAAATTCGTATTACGAAAAATTTACTTCATCATTTAAATGATATTTCAGTAATATCTAGGCAGAGGACAAAAACTGACATGACAAAATAATCAGTTGATGATACATGGTACTTATATCTGTTGACATTAGTAGCACATACCACACTAGTCTCCCTTTTAAAGCAGTCATTCTTGTGGTGATTCTGCTCGCCGTGCTACTTATCTCGTTTCCTACAGTCTGTGGCACGCTCTCCGTCAAAATGTCAAATCTGCAGCGTACACCCAGCAGCCTCATGTCCCACCGTTCCTTTCCGTCGACAGCCAACGCCGACCAGCCGGAACACTCCACTCGATGCCATCTCACGGCACCAGATCACAACAACTAGCGCCTCAGCTTCAGGTTCGCAACGGCGTCTAAAGGACAGCACCTTTCCCCCTTCCTAGTTGGTAGCAGCACCAAATATGAATTTTCTATAAATGGAATAAATCCATTTAGAAGACAGATATAACATTCACATAAGAATGTTATTTATACACCAATAGTCTGAATTGTTGTACAAACACACATCAATCTTCATTCTTAAAAAAAAACTATATAGAACCGTTTTTCGTAAGTCTTATTAAATTATATTTCTATTGTACAACATTCTCTTCATGTAAACTTTAGTTTTCACTGTCAAAATTAAAAGGAAAAAAGATTTTCTAAGATATTGTTTCAATAGATGCTTTTTACAAGTTTTATTTTAATTTATGACTACAGATTTTCCATCAAAACATTCTAGCAGAAATCTAGTTTTTGTATATCGGAAGCTCCCTGTAAACGTTTTCTGTACTACATACATATATATACGTTTGGGCATAAATTCTTCACTCACTCTCTGCGTACAAAGTTAATATAATTTAATAATCTATTTTTTCAAAATGTCTTCTTTAATTGATCATTTAAAAATTTCGATTCCTCAACTTAATAAAGACAGGAAATTGGAAAATATGAACCTTAAATTTTAAACTGAGAGTATCTCTATGTGAACTGAATATCCTAATCTTGAGTATGGCTAGGAATGTAGACTAGTGAGAACACACGGAAAAAATTAACAATCCATTCCACCTTAGTTGCTAAGAATTCTTCAACCAATATCAGTTCATGAAAAATAATCTTAAGCTCACAGATACGATTGAGGTTTCTAATTTGAAAAGTTGTGGAATTTATCTTTCGGAATGACTATAGAAAGTAGTTGACATGATTAGCAGTCAATGATGGGGACCTAGAATAATTCATAGATATTCAAATATAGGATTTCGTTAGGACTATCACAGTTTAATTTCACGTTCGAACTGATTTTCAAAGACATTTCATTGTTCTGTCTTATTCTGTCATACGCGCCACAGCTAGACTGGCCAAATGAGGATATTCGTTCGATAAAATGTCAACCAACGTAATTTGATTGTATTGTTATTATGTATATTCTTGTCGTATATTTATTACGCAATTAGACTACGATATTTATATATTGCGTTTTTTAAGCTTCTCTTTACACCATTAACCATTATTTTATTGTTTATAAATCCTATTTTGTTGCCGATCGATTATTCACAGCTTGCCCAAATTACTTTGAGTCACTTATGCATAATTGTTATTTTTCATTTTGTGGTGCGATGCGGTCCAGTATTTTCGTACATAAGCCCATGTATGTTTAAAATGTAGTAATGACAGGAGCTGACGACCGAAGTTTTAGACTCAAGACGTAACAAAAAGAAAAACAACAGGGGCTTAGTTAAGCTAGCTCAAGGTCAACAGTGTCGATAAGGAGTATAATCCACAAAATCTGGGACACTAAACTATGGAAGAAATAGTAGACGAGGAATATATAAAATCAGAATTCTGATTGGTGACTTCAGAACGCGATATCAGTTAACATCTCAAGAAACAACAATGCTTTTGAGTTTGAAGATGTATTCTAAAGTAGCGCTTAGGGCGTAGAGAAATATAGACTACCAAAGTAAAGGAAACTTCACCCAAACTACTATTTTGTTGACACACTACAGAATTTAAGTTTATTAAGATGATATACATAATATATATGGTTTAAAATGACAGAAATGAAATGAAATTATCTTGGAAATAAACAGATGTTCTTTTTTAGTCTATGAATAGATATGTTACGTATGTCATGATATGTTACTAAACTTGTTTTACTGGACTGTGTATCTTGGAGTGAAAATGTTCTGATTCTATAGTTTCTAAGAAAAAAAGATTTTGTGAAAACAATAAAGGCACAAATGAAATCAAGGATTTCTGCAAGTGATAATCGGTATTTTATGCAATCCTCTTTTACACAATTCCTGTATATGAGTTTTGAATTGTTCTACACATTGTTCACAAACAGCTGTTATTAATGGAGTATTAGAAATTGGTGGTATTACTGCAGTGGTTGTAGTAGTTGTTGTATTGGATAAATTTGTATCTGCTTCTCTTTGTGTGGTATCATTATTACCATTATCCCCACCTGTACGCATTTCCATATTTCTAGCAACTGAAAATGGCATTATGCTTGCAGCCACGTCATTATGCACAGTATCATTGGCATTATTATTCTGTAAATGCTGGTCTGCACTATTATTGGTTGACGGTCCTGTTGCATTGTTTACAACGGGACTAAAAGTGATTGTTGAAAACGGACGGCAATGTAATGAACAGTGATTGGAAGGAACACGTTCAGCACGACTTTCCATACGTGAACACGAATGAGTAAAACTCTGTTGAATATCTACGAGACATTTTTCCAAAACTTTTATCCTTCTTCTAAAAAAAACAAATTTATTCACCGATTAATACATAGGCTTTGATTCGATCAAAAACAAAACAGAAACAAATAAAACGAAGCTGTAGGAACAGTTTTTAACGAGACTTTTGATAAAATAAACGATTCTATTATGAACTGTTTAAGCGAAAAACCTGGCAGGTAACTACTACTTAGAGTTCTGCTTCTCATTCATATGAAGTCAGTCACATGGAGATGAACACGATATCATTTCCAACGTATGACCCCCATCTGATGACTTCGGTGATAGCTGTTTTACACCTGCCATAGTTGACTATGACCTTAGAAAACTTGCCTAGACGCTTGTCTCCACCTATAAGAATGTATCTGAAAGTATTCAGTCAGTATCTTATAGCTCAAAATGGGTGTGCATTGGCTAAAGTTGTCACACTATATTACCACAATAAGATTTAATTAACAAGACGAATTGTAAAAAAATTAAAATAGTATAGTAATGATGAGAAAAATCAAGCGTTGAGAATGTGGTTTGAAAAAAATATAAAGAAAAGGCAAGTATAAAAGGGTACTGAAGATGTAGATCAAGAGTAAGATAAACAGTAAATAAATCTGAGTTATCGCGCGAACTCCAACCAAGTAGTAGTAAGCTTAGATTAACAATCAGTGACTTCACACACACACGTCCCTATCTTTTTGTCGACCTACTTTTGCACTAGCAAACATGGGTATTGGAGGTAGACAATGATGAACCATAGGTAGCACATATCCCGACTACCTTAACAACTTTTTGTTATCTTCACCTGATAACCAACGCTTAACCTCAACAATGCTTACTCGATTGTCCGATGATACTCTAACAATGCTCAGAAGAAATCTAAAATTAAAAACTTGAGGCCTATTCAAAATTTCCTCTTTTAAGGACGATGTTTCATAGCCATAGAGTAATACAGCTTGAACTACTGTGTAGTATACTCGTTCTTCGGTTAGCACATGGACATTTTTCTTAAGCCACGAGTGAAACAAGATAGAAACGACCAAAAGAGATGTTTAACTCGACTTGAATAAAGCCAATTCTAAAATTAGTATTAATTTATGATGAAACTCGTCTTAAAGTTGAACAAACCTACATGAAGCACTCGTCTGAAGAATGAAAAGGACACATTTTTTATCATACATAAATTTGCATAGGGAACGAACTTGTCTGCAGTAATCATATTTTAAACACTATTAAAAATACCATACCTAAACGAAAATCGTTAATTGAATAATTGGTGAATATCAATGTCAAATACTACCGAGCATTGTTTATTTTTTAAATAATTTGAAACATCTTGTCAGTACACGATAGTAAAATTAATAAGCTCAATAATAGTCGAATAATATAATTAAAGCTTAAATGCAAAAATAATATCAACTAAGCAAGAGACTAATATTAAGATTTTTAAGGAAGTTAATGATTAAACAGAAAACTAACGAGTCAATATTTTACAACCTGATGTTTAATTACTAAGGTCTAATAATTTGATTAAGTGTTCATAGATTTATTTTGCTAGGATTTTAATTGGTTACAACAATTGATTGATCACTGGGTGGTGATCAATGTCATGCTTGTCTAGTCCTTATTAGTGCAGATTGAATGCTATCGATCATGTTGCAATGTGGCCACCAGTCTAGGTGACTCGACACTGCGGGCACTATGTATTGAGATTTAGATGGTGGTAACTTCTCTGACTGTGAAGCTGGGTGACACGAGATCGAATCCGCCAGGGAGCACCAGTTCCCTCAAGATTACAGGTACACCTTGCTGACGAGTGCCAAGTAGCACGAAACCCGGGTCCAGGGTTTCCTGTTCACTACCTCCAACCACCATCTAAGTTTCAATTGGTTGAATACTCAGACTATATTATAATTAATAATATACAATGGAAGTCGATGAGATCAATCTTTAATGAACCGTCTATAATCTCTTTTTTTTCTTCCTTTGCAAACAACTTTTTTTATATACGATCAATCATTATAATAAAATTGGTTGCATTTTATTTGATGAACTCATCTTATTCTATATTGTGAAGAAAGATAATTTTTCATTCTATTAATTCGCTATATAATAAATAGCATAGATAGTGTTCAAAGTAGTAATTAGATAAACTTTGATTAGAAGCGATCAATCATTTCAATGTTGACTTTCACAAAATGATTAGTTTTATATATTTTTATTGTTAACATTAACAAATATCATCTTCATGTTGGACATAAAGCATTTTGAACACGATAAAGATAAACAGATAAATGTAGCAGAAAACTTTCTATTGAATACTACTAACTATTGATTGATGTATTATATGCATTTGTGACAAGTATAGATGATCGACTATATCTTTATCGTTAAGATTTAAAATTTATTATAGGAAGAAAAATTTTGATATAACGGATGGTTTCTATTATTTTTTTTTCCCTTTCTCTGTGGTATACAACGATAAAAATTTAGTACGATTATAAGACTAGTCACGTTATATCAGATTCAGAATTTATGACCCAGAATAGAGAATCGAATTAGCAGTAGCTAATGCTTTATTCAAAACAGCTACAAGCAGTCACACTCAATGAGTCCGGAGTAGAAATCAGTGAGAAGAAAGGAAATCACATATTTATTAGTCGAAAGTCTAAATGTATGTTTGTCCACGTTTAATGACCAATCATATTTTACTCTCACTACTACATACCAAATTTATAATCTTCCATATGTACGAGAATACTTTTCGCCGATCATGGTTGTATTTTATTACTATAAAATCATTATTTATGTAATTTAGTAATCGAGCAAACTTTTACATTCATAGCTGTGTTATGCATTTAGTAGGAGGGTTAAAGTGAACAATGGAGTTTGGAACTAGCAGATCAACAGACACCACTTCCCATTCGATTATTATAATTAACATAAGATGAGATGCGATGAACACAATTTTCACAATCATTGATCAACTAAATGTATTACAAGTAGATAAGAATTCCATTTTATTATAGATGTGATATTATGTTTAAGCAATAGTATCACAACAAATTATGAATAATTCAAACTACTTATCACAACATATTGATCCATTTAAACAATTCAACATGATCACTTAAACGACTTTCTTTACAAAATAATCCGATTATACTAACAAAGGTTTAAGCAGATTTCTATTTCGTTAGGTTTCCTTAATATGCTCCTAAAATCAGATAGTTGTTAGAGCGATGACTATAATTCACTAGAAACCTGATATGTGCGTTAAAAAGAAACAGTTATTAACCTTTCTCTATCCTGATAACATAAACTCTGTATCGCTGCATCAGTTTTTCGACTCTACTCAAATTCGTAGATCTATCTACATCTCTTTGGGAAACCGGGTAGCATCACTGGCCCTCATGACCAGTGTCGCTTAAAGCCAAGTACGCAAATTCGCGTGGTTGGTAATGCAGTGGTAATAATGCTAGGCAGGCCTAAAATCAGTTATGACGAGTGCACTAGGTTTCATCAAAAAAATTGGAAATAATATCATATTGATCAACGTCGTAGAGATCAATCTATAAGTGACCTACAATTAGTTCTAAAAAGTGGAGTAATTAGATCACTACAGAATAAAATAATTTCTTTTTTCTATCCGGAATAGAAGAATGGTAGCATTATATAAGACGGCAAAACTTGCTAACGACTTCTAAGAATCATTAGAAATTGAGTAAAGTATTTAACTGGAAGTCATTCAGTTTAACATCTTGAGATATCGTGAAAAAATTGTAGAATATACAAACACACGTAAAACCAGTTTAAAGGACAGTAACTCACTCAAGTACTTCATTTTTAAGTTCCATTGACAGATTTATTTCTTCAAATGCTTTAACCATCCGACCATAATCTAAACGAGCACAAGAATCCAAAGCTGCTTGTCGTAATCTACTCAGACCATATAAATCAGCTATTCGAAGAAACAATGGTGCAGTTACATCATTGAGACGAAATGTAAGTGTCCTCTCAGCCAAGCTAACCATAGAATCGATTTGGTATCGATGTAAAATAGGTAGCAACTTTTCAGCTGTTTCGGCTTGAATATGAAATAATACAGAAAAACGTAACTACTGAGGAATTATTCTTTTCGTTTTCAGAAAGATAATTCATCATAGTTTTTGGATTGGTAACAGATAACAACAAGACAACCAAACAGGTAATTCGAGACTACCATCTATACGAATAATTAGTACTAACAATTTTGCAATTATTTTTTTAAGTAATTTACAATCTACTTAGAACACAACTAAGTAGATTGTACAAATGACTAAAACATTTCACTGGTAGTTCCACGCTTTAACATTGAGATATACAAAAGTTCCAGTCTATATATATAGTTTCAAACAAAAACACATTCCAGATAAGAAACAGATAGTTATACATATCATCTTAAGCATATGCACGCTACATAGCTTCTGATATTACAGATGGATAAAGATGCAAATCCTAGAAAAGCTAAGATACACGACAATAAAAAATAAGATCAAATAATGGTTATTATCAAGACAAATACAAGACTGAACCATTTTTTCAACTACCAAACGGTCATCGAAGGCAAGAGGAGCAAATAATTGTAGCATAAATTAGAAAATAATAATCCTCATGGTTACAGGTAACTAACTGTTGGGTTTGTCTTACATTGTTCCTAATCGTTCCCTTTCTACTCTTTTGTATATTGTCTTATACTACTTATTTACATTCAGTAAGCAGTTGTATTCCCAATAATTTTCACACTTATGTTGTAACGCAAGTTGTACTGTAATATTCTGAAATGTTCACATATACTTATAACGTTTATAGTACTTATCATTATAATTACTGTATCTTAATCACTGTATCCGTTATTCACAGCTTTGTGCATTTGTTTAAACGCAACAGTTTCCATATTAAATAAGAACTTTCGTCTAAATTTGAACGAATAGTTTCACAATATTTGGGCGCCGAGTTAATTTGAGACATTAAAAAGAAGAATATATTTGTAAAATCTCAGCGAATGAATTTTAAGTAAATCCAACGTTTCGCCTGGCAATCTGGTCCAAGCTTTTTCAAGGAAAATATAATCAAACAACAAAATTATCGAATATAAATAGGTACATGGTTCTTCGGTTTACTGTATACTGAATAAGTCATCCAATCAACTTGAAGGATTTTTACCTATTTATATTCGATAATTTTGTTGTTTGATTATATTTTCCTTGAAAAAGCTTGGACCAGATTGCCAGGCGAAACGTTGGATTTACTTAAAATTCATTCGCTGAGATTTTACAAATATATTCTTCTTTTTAGTTTCCATATTGTTTGCTCTTGGTTCGGTTGTTCGTAAACTTATCAAATTTAGACACAGCTATCAGCTGTCCTTTGTACTATCGTATGTTATAATTATTCTTTATGTTACTGTTACAGGAAGCCTTTTCATTTTCATACTTGAAGGACGCGTTTAAACGCCCCAGACACCTCACAAATTGAGGTTTGTAACTAAATTTTGTTTATTATTCAATAAAGAACCACTATTGTAGACAAATCGTTGTTTTGGAAACTTCGGTTTTGTGCGTATCTCAATCAAGTGACTTGGACGCTTCGATAGATCTAACACTAACTAAAAGAGCCAAACATGGAAATTTACAGAATAACCAATGATGCCAAAGTAATGTATCTGTCTAGAATTCGTAAGAAATTCACACACATGTTATAAGTAGCCACTACAAACGACATTTATGGACAACCATGGCTAAATACTCAAATGTATTGTTTTCATGCAACAGTAATTAATCAGCAACACACAAATCTATTTGTACTCGACACATAAACAGTCTAAGAACCTCCATGTAGAATTCAGCACCACTGTTTGCCCCCTAGTGAGAAAAACTTAATGGGTAATACCACGAATGCTATAAAAAGTAAGTCCACGTATTTAATGGACAGAGTATGTATATCACAAATGTAATCAATAAAATGAGACGTCAAACTAAAATGAAATTTCATACGTGTCATATCACAACCACCAGGTGTGTACATGTGACGCAACATTTCCCTTATGTCATCAAACTCATCAACTGGAATAACAACTTCATTTTTTTGATTTTCCTAAAAAAATAAACAAAGCACAACTAATGAGAAGTAAAAACAATAATATAAACAACAAATATTAGGTCTTTAAAAGCATTTAAAGGAAAAATAGCCCAAAAATTAACTGAATACAAAACTCAAAGTTCAAGCTTTCTTTTAATATTACCCATGAGGTTAGAAATAATATGCAGATATACTAATCAAGGTCATCCTATTTTGTGTAATCGAGAAGGTAATAAGTAATATTTATTTATTTATCACCGAAGTCGGTGTTTCGAAACTGTGACAACAAATGAATTAAGTCGATGTGCTAGGACAAACGATGCCGAACCTCTTTAGTACTGTCATGATGTTGCCACAGGATAACAGAAATCCTCCGGGGACGACGTTGGTAAAACACAGAGGGTTGCTTAATAATCTCAACTCAGGAAGGCCAGGTTTCACAAGCATAGACCAAGACTACTCTTACCGACCCATTATAGACCTCTAAGAGCTAGACCAGCATCACGAAGGTGCAAAAGATAGCCCATATTGACATAAGCCGCTCCTGTCTTTGTTATACGTGGATTAATCTTATCATCATCGGCACTTACGCACCTATCCAGATACACGAACTTCTCGCAGGATTCTATCCACTCACTTCCAAGAGTGAGTGTAGGTTCAGGATCCTGCCAGTCTTCCAAAAGTACTTTACACTTGGATGCAAGGCAAATGCTACACTGCAAAGTCGTGCAAGGATGACAGGCGCATCCCAAGTGATGACCGGAGTCATACAAGACTGTTTACTCTCCCCCTTCCTTTTTCTTCTGATGGTTGGTTGGGTTATGAAGACCGCCACATCCTAGGAAAGTGCGGAATACAATGGACAGCTTGAATCCAACTAGATGATATGGAGTTCGCTTCTATTCCATACACATCAACAAATGCAGATGAAGACAACCAATGTAGTAGCAGCCTCTGTAGGCTTCAACATACACAAGGGAAAGAGCAAGACACTCAAATACAATATGGAGAACACCAACTCAATCACACTTGATGGAGAAGCTCTGGAAAAGGTGGAAACTCACATACCTAGGAAAAATCATCGACGAATAAGGAGGATCTGATGAAAACGTAAAGGTAAGGGCAACATTTTTACATTTGGAAAACATAACTCAAAACCACTGTAAACCTACATTAAAGTCAGAATATTCAATACCAACGTCAAAACAGTTCTACTGTATGGAGCTGAAACTTGGAGAACTACTACAACTATCATCGAAAAAGTGCAAGTATCTATAAACAAATATCTACGTAAGATACTGAATGTTCATTGGTCGCATACCATCAACTACAACATACTGTGAGTAAAAACAAACCAATTTTTAGATGAAGAGAAAATTAAAAGACGTTAGAAGCGGATGGGAAACATTACGGAAATCACTAAATTGCATCGCGAGGCAAGTGTTAACTTGGAATCCTGAAGGGAAATTGAAAAGAGGAGTACCAAAGAACATACTGCGTCGGGAATTGGAAGCAGACATCGAAAGGATGAATAGCAACTCGAATGGATCGCCCAGAACAGAGCTAAATCGAGAATGCTGGTGGGTGGCCTATCCTCTTCCACGAGCGGTAACAGCTGTAAGTAAGGCATATGACATACCTATGGACACAGACTGCCAAATAACTGGGGATTGGAAGGCTTGAGTATCATCGTACATTAAGACAATATCATCATCATCATCATCATCGTCTTTCTTTAGGCATCCGCTCAACACTACCATTACTTCAATCCGGCAGAGCTATTTCCAGAACGTCATCGATAGAAAAGTTGGGGATGAACGGTGTGTTGGGAAACCGTGCCTAATTCCACTGTTTGAATGAAGCAATAGAGGAAGTTGTATGACCTCATTCTGTGTGAGGTATCTGTATATAGGGCCTTCAAGATGTGAATGAACTTCTCAGGAACGCCCATTTCCAGACGATCCCAGAAAACAGTCCTGTCTAACGAATCGAAGGCGATCCTGACGTCAAGAAATACAATGATTGATGGCTTGCAATAAGTGTGGTGGTGTCGCGATCGGAAGTAAACTTATCCCCTCGATAGTTGTAGAAACGATATGGACCGTTTTTAAAGACAGGAACAACTATCGATTCATCCAACGAACACTCTAACCGCCAGACGTTCATAAACAACGTCAGTTCCATAACCAGAAAGTCGTCACCATCTTCGTAGCGAGCTGGAAATAAGTCATCTGGGCCTGGTGGTTTGAGGAATTTTAAGAGTTGAGTGTCCTTGCTGCCTTCCACCTCGTTAAGTGGATCAGTTATCGCCCGCCATGAAGGACAGAAAAGTTTGAACGATGTCACCGGGAAAGTAGACCATTCAGACTGTTCTTCGAAAATTTATCCACCGTCCAAGATTACAGTAGATGTAAGTGATTGGGATCCCATTGGCTTCACAGACTGTTTCACTAGCCTTGAAACTAGATCAGTTTGATATTCAGTTACAACGAAAGCTAAAACCAATTTGGTGACATCGACCCAATCATGGCAATGAATTTGCTGGTCACTGAAACCTGAGATAACACTAGAGCAAGCAAGGGGATGATCAGGGTTTAGGTTGTTGCAAGAGTCCTGTTCAAGTCCCTGGAAATCCAGAAACGCCAGGAAACCTTTTATCCAATCAGCGTCGAATAGAATCTTCGTAGAATGACCGAAAATTTTTATATTTGTAGTGATTAAAGATTTCTAGCAACTCGAAAGTGTTTGTCATTGGAAAGTAATCTTAGTTGAACTCTAAAACATAAATTTTTATGAACAGATGAGTATTCTGTGCCAAAGCTCATGATTAGTGTACACTTGAGAATCCTTTTAGTTACGAGGTTAGGATAATTTGACTTCACCATAAAAGGATCAACGTTTCTTCCTCCGACATTATTTAAAATTCTAACAATGGTAAGTATACCCTTCAACAAGGATCAGATAAAATAGCTTGAACACTTGAACACTAATTACCGTATTTTTTTTAATGTTCAGTTAAAAGAGTGTTTACAGTATTTATCACTTGAGCACCTAAAAATGAAACTCAATGATTAACAACGATTTACAAATTAATCTAGGGGTTTGTGGAGATTGTAGAATATAATAGTTTACATTACGGACTGCTTTCAGTTGCGTAACTATCACTGACAACTAAGAAGTCTCTCACACGGACAAAACAGCTATTCGGTGCTTCCATGTTTTCTATGGTTACCTAACCAAAATCAGCCCCTGACATGAAATGCGAAATTCGCGATTTCTTCACTATATTCTATCAACATCATACCAATATATGACAAAAAACCACACGAAGTAGTTAAAAACCAAATAGTGATTCATTGAAGAATATCAGTCTCTAATGAAAAAAAGATTTTCATCAATAGTTATTATATAACAGACTAAAGAAAATGAGTGGACAATAAATAAAACTGTTTTCCCCCGTCTTAATTTATAGATTTATTAGATAACCTGGTTAACGATTCAAGAGTAACTATTTGGCAAAGATACAACATTTTGTGTGGATTTTTAACCAATAAAGATTTATGTTTGATTAATTTATCAACTAAATAAATTATTCAATAAAAGTATTCAAATCACATGGCGCGATGAATCAGAATCTGAAATATACAGGTTATATATATATATATATATATATATATATATATATATATATATATATATATATATAATAACGTCTAATTAACGAAATGCAGTGTATTCTCTTAGTCATACGTCTTTAAAGTCAAAATACACTTTCATAAGAAAATTTATTAAATCAGTTACATAGGTTCAGGGTGGCATAACTTTTCTGACCAAAAAAAGCCTAAGAAGAATTACAAAAATAACACTTTGATTACTATGACTGGGTATAATGCACTGTACACTGTACTATAGTACCATAGTGAAGATTAGAAAACGAAAACCATTTAATAAAATAGATCGAATATTTCTTGGAGAAGAAAGATTAAATTCTGTCTAGATTGGTTTCATTCAATAAAGAAGTTTTCTAAACTCTTTTAACTATATGTAATAACAATTATTTGTTTTTCTTTCTGTTATAATCTCTTTCTTCTTACGGTTATAACCCAGCTATTCCTATTGCTTAGTATTCTTGGACACCGATTCACTCGACAAGACCCCAAATCAGAACACGGTTGAACAGGAAAGAGATTATATTCCAAATAACAAGGTTAGATGGAAGTAAGAAGCAAGTCAGAAGCACAATAGGGAAAAACGTCAGTATATTTATAGTTTTTACATAAGAAGATTCCAGAATATTCTCCAACTATCGACTAGTGCTGATTGGATAAGAATTAGCCAATCAGCGTGCACCAAAGCAATCATGCATTGAGCATGCTTTAATCTAGTCTATATCCCGCTAACACTTTCGTTTAAATTTTCATACTATTTGGTTAAAAATGAATACAACTGTGCACTAGTACGACAACTTATCATTGATTACTTTTAGACAATTTAACTAATGTCAGGCAGGCAGAAGAAAAACACACTTAATGATTTCTAGATTATATATAAAGTACAACTGAAAGTATTTAATGTACAACAATTTGACTAGATGCTTTATTTAGCTAACCAATAAATATTCAGACAGAAAATGAAATGGTAACTATTCAAGATGGGAACCTTTTGCAGTGGAGACAACCATGACTGTCAAACCATTTGACTAAAATAATTTCCCCTACAGAATTTCATATAAATCACTATAAAAGAAATATCATTAAAAGTAAAAGGACACTTTTTCCCACAAGTTGTATTTTTTTAACTACTGAATTAACCAAACTATTATTGTCAAACATGGATGATTTTTTTAATGTGACTTATTGATTTTTCGCTGTAAATTTACAGAATTTCCATGACAGATCTCCCCAGTAAATTATGATCGAATGACGGGAATAGATTTTTTGATATGATCCTGTTAATGATTAGATGGTAAAGCGCTAGGAGTGAAGATTAGTAAACTTGAACCGATTGCACTACATATACATTAATTTCCTATATCTTACATAATTTTAAACAAAAGTAATAATCACTTACAATGCATCGATTTTGAAACATAGCTTTGAATACTGGTGAATAGATGGATAGAATAGCACGATGACAATGAAGATTTCTACCTTGAACAATTAGAACAGCATCACTGAATAGAAATGGACTGCTAAAGTCTAACACATCATGTTCTTCTTTCTGCGGTTCATTATCATCAACGTCACAACTAAAACAAAATGAAACAAATTACAATCAGTTATGTTTCTACCTATACATTCAACGTAAATTAAGCTTTAACCTTTGATAAAATATTATCTGGATGTTCTGAAGAAAAAACTGCACAAAACTTCGATTATACCTTGAATATTTTCGAAAAAAGATAACACACAGTTTAAACCTAATACATTCATGAGTTATATATTTTTATTACGAAGTAAAAAGCAATAAAATGTGTACTTGGTGTACAAAGGCAAATTGTAGACATGATTGGGATGTTTATGAAGTTCGCAGTTTAATTTTTATCATGGATTCTGAACTAGGAAGCATTGGATAATGGTTTCGCTCAATAGAAGACGATATAAAATCTCACAAGTTATAAGAAAAATTATTTGAATTACAATACAGTTCGATGGAGGTCGCTGAACTTTTTGTTGTTACATGGCAAACTGACCTTATTTAGACAATCTAAAACAATACACCTTAACAACTTCACAGAACAATGAAAAGTGACAAGTCCATGGACTGAAACAGTATGCTCTCTTGTGAAACCTTTTAGAAAACTACTTCCTGAGTTCTGTCGTTCTATAACGACGCCCATCAACATGCTAACCTTATGTTTGCTAAACAATATTCCGAGATTATTGTGAACTAGTAAAAGCAGCCGTAAACATTCTCCGCTACGTTTTACGAACAACTCATCACGAAATCCAATAAAAAACAGGTTCGCAAGTCACTTAGTGCAATTTGGAAATAACTGAAAAAGTGAGGAAGTTTATAACTTGCCTGATAATAAAACTATGTCAATCGGAACAATCATCAATAAACCTAGTAAACTCAGTACGCAACCAGGGACCAAGGTGCAGTTCCATATATTCGGTTTTACATTAAGCTGTGCCTTTCACGTGACGGCTAGTGTGATACTATTGATCTAACTAAAATAATACAGGCTGGGCGTGTTAAACTTACAGCCCGATAGTTGAAAGTTACATGGTTTAACCACTAAGCCAAGTACATTTCATCCTCAGGAATATAAAATAGTTATCAATATAACTGTTAGCGGGACATGGACTGGATTAAAACATGCTCAATGCACGATTGCTTTGGGGCACACTGATTGGCTAATTCTTATCCAATGAGCACCAGTCGATAGTTGGAGAATACTTTAGAATCTTCTCATGTGAAAACTACAAATATACTGACGTTTTTCCCTATTGTGCTTGCATCTTGGTTCCATCTAACTTTGTTATTTGGAATATAATCTCTTTCCTATTCAACCGTGTTTTGATTTGGGGTCTTGTCGAGTGATTTAGTGTCCGAGAATACTAAGCAATAGGAATAGCTGGGTCATAACCGTAAGAAAGAGATTATAACAATAACATTTTCAATTTTTCAAACACAAAGCGTACAACGTAAGTTGTGCAAACTCAACACACTTTCTAAAGACTAAATATTTATTAATTACTCATATTTTTTTACATATGAATAGCTCAACAATATCTTTAGTTGCACGTAATTTGCATCCATCAATGTTGAAGTTTAAATAATCTCATAGAAAGACAGATTTCTTATTGTATCAGATGACAAGTATCTCGAAGATCATATTCAATCAAATTTTAACTAATTTACTTTCATTTTACCAGTATAAATTAAAACACACAGCATGTTCAGAAACTATATACGTTATTTATCAGGTGTACAACACATATTACCGATACTGAGTTAATGACAGTTTCGATGCTTCATTAAACAACATAATAATTGTAATCTAATAGATCAAAAAAAGCTATTTGATTATTATTTCTGTTAAAAGCATCGATCGTTCTTCAAATCAGCAAGTTTTTAATGAATCAATATACATCCAATTGTTTTAACTTAGTGACAAGTGTGATATTCATAACAAAGGTAAAAATGAGGTCAGATTGGATAAAAAGAGAACTGCTTTATACATACTGTTTTTTAAACATTGCATGCTTATCTAGTTTATAAAATCATAACTTCAATTACTAGATAAACCAACAGTTCAAGTTGAGTATTTGGTAAATGAGCATATAAAAGACGCTTACAATATGAATGGATGATTATTTTAAGTTGTATACCGTTTTCATTTACAGCCAGTAACTTTTCTAAGAAAGTAAATAACTAGGATTGAAGTTATTGGCTGGGTTTATTCATTTGCCTGTAATAAGCACTAAGATGACTAGACTAAAGCTGAAGACCTTGAAGATAAAAACATTCGTTGTGCTAAGGTTTTACAAATTTCTGATGGATAAGGATATTACTGCCATCCATGAAGTAGAAAAGACTTACACTAGCAACCAGTGAGACGCATCCCTTTTCAAATACGCTTATGCACTGACAAAGAAGGTCGGATATAAATTAATGCAGTTAGAAAGCATTTTGTTTACAATACAAATTAGTATACATACCTAGTTTGGATGGTAAATTATATTTAAGTTTGCTAGTTTCTGACACGACCGGATTATTTTAAAAACCTATGCTTTTAATAATTGATTCCTCTGTTTGCACCTGTAAGAGAACCTACAGCTCGACGTGATACGTTACTTTTATACCTAATTCATCTAGAAGTAGATAATCACGTTATTGAGAAAATGGTTATCTTTCCATACTTACAGAGAAATTATCAAAGTCAATATAAGTGGAGCTCTAATAATCATAAAGTGTAGCGACTTTTTCGACCTTAGACAAGCTGATGCCTGAAATTATGAATTACTTTCACAGTCAATGTGCTTCTCATCAAAAAATACGGTAGCTGATTATTTAGCAGGCTTAATATAATGAAATCGAGTTGTGACAAAACTATAAGTTAATACCTCCAAGCGCCAGTTATCATCACACTTCATCTATGTAGGGAATTTAATAATGCCATTAACTTAATAAATAGATAACAAAGTCGAGTGATTGTCATGAAAATTAAGTTTATCGAAGTCACAACAGAAGGATTAACTGGGTATATTGCATGTTGATATCCACCCGTTGCTCGAACGAGTTGAAATTTAAGAATTTAACGGTGGTATGCGAATCAATTCAAGTTCCTACACTTGAGACCGACGCAATGAGAGGAGATTAGGACTCGTTACAAAGTGATAACATCTCCAACCAAAGATGATAGTTATCTCATGAATCGCAACCTCAGTTTACATTTGTTGACACAGTTTAAATATCAGCAGTTATACTGGGTGGAAACAAAGTAGATTACTCACTCTGAATTCCATCTTTTAGGCTGTATTACTCAAGAATCCAGTGAGCAAATGTCTTGTTGTCAAGTTGTACTAAACTATTACAGAGGGGATGTTAAATTTATTGAAAAATGGCAAGATTGACATCTGTACATGTTTTTCTTCCCTAAATGCAAAATGTTGCTTTAGAACGTCCATGTTATGGCCTAGACTTCTTAACAATAATAAGAATTGCTTTATCAAATATTATTTGTTTACCACTACATGGAATCCCCAACATGTGAATGATAGTGATTGAAGTAGTTGGGTGCGTCAATCACTTATATTGGAAGTCTCATCAGCCTTGATGGATTGGTGTCTTAAAAAATCTTGACGGGAATCGAGAAAGCTCATTTGGGTTCGTCAACTGTCACCTTCTGTGCAGATGGGAGGTCTCTCTGTCATTGAAAGAGCCAATATGTTGTCCAGCAGTTTGCTGTTTATTTTATGGCTGTGAAACATAATCTATGAGGTAGTGTGCATATATAGGCTACGAGTTTTAGATTACAGGTGTCTCCGAAGTATTGCTCACAACACTGAACGAAGAGAGCAATGCTGATGTTAGATGGGAAATCGGTTGGTCGAGATGCAAATTATCGTCGACCAAAGGAACTGGAATACATAATGCATTTCTTCAACAACCGCCTGCTTAGACATGTAATGTTGGCTGGTATAATAGTGAATCAGAAGTATTTACTTTTTATGCTCTTTTAAGCCTTAAGATTCAATCTTCCTTTACACGTAACTTCTTATCCTCTCCTCCGGATTCATATTCTTAATATTTATTGTTTTCCAATAGTCAGTCAGTCGGTCAGCTACAACGTAGGACCAGGCACATTTATGCATCGGTCCAAGTTGCCATACCTCATTAACACAACAAGATGGACACCGGATTCACAAAAGTAGTTAATTCAGAGGTGGTAATATACAAAAGAAAGATTGTAATAAGGATATAGTACAGGAAGAAAGAATTAGTTCATAGAAAGAAAGATATGAAGCGATTTTAATCTCTTAGTTTAAGGGAAGACAGAGAGTGTATAAACTGACGCCATGGAGGTCGATTCTGAGCCATGTCACCAAGAGTCTCCGACCATTGGTTACGGTAGTCACGCGGACCCCAACCAAGTAGTCTGCATCTACCAACATGGCTCAGACTAGAAGTTAGTGACTCCAAGCACTGATGCCACGTTTTGGTTTGGCCGCCCCTAACTTTCTTCCAACCATCTCCAGCGTCGGTTAGCATTGCACGTTGTGGTAATCGGTGTTCGGGCATACGTAACACGTGGCCAAACCATCTCAGTCGATGAAGATTCACAACCTCGTCAACTGATTCACCATCATTCCCTAATATCCTGCGTCTAACCTCACTATTACTTACCCGGTGATCCCAGCAGATGTCAGCAATATTTCTAAGGCATCTGTGGTCAAATACTAGTAGCTTACGAGTGTCTTCTACTCTTAATGGCCATGTTTCGCCGCCGTAAATTAAAACAGAACGGACTGCCGCGCAGTATACTCGTTCTTTTATTGATAGTCGGATATCTCGCCTTCGCCATAGGTGACGTAAGTTGGCAAAAGCCAAACGAGCTTTTCGGATCCGTGCTGAGATTTCGTCAGACACCAACCCATTAGGGTTGATCAGACTTCCAAGATAAGTGAAGTTGTCGACGCGTTCGACTACTTCACTCCCTATCCTTAGTTCAAGTATTGACGCAGGCTAGTCCTGAAGCAACAACTTGCATTTAGAGGCAGAGAAGCGCATTCTAAATTTAATCTCACTGTAAAGATTTGACGTGGTGACTCGGATGAAGCACATCTGTGTGACGCCGTAATTGTCATTACTGTACAGATTTCTAGATAAAATTCAGAAGCAATGCAACCTGTGTGTTGTACAATACTAAGTGGTCAAGATAGCTTAGAAAAGTTAATTAAGACTGTCATACAAACAGTATTTTCACGGATTAAAGTTGCAGCGGAAACATCTCTAACAGTACACATAACTCGGAAATAACTATGACACAAAGTTCGAAGCCAGGCTAAAATGACGAGTCTCAGTATGTTTAGATATTTAGCTATTGCGGTTAGTAACAAACTGACAAAAAGTGCTCCTCAGATCAACATAATATAATAAGACCAAACACTGACGATTGAGTGCACTAATTAATCCACAGACTTGCAACACTTTGGTCAAATTATTAAATGTCTAGCATTGCTTATTACCAGATGGGCAATTTTCCGAACTGCATATAAATTTTCACAAATCAAAATCTAAATATTTAACAACTTCTAGAAATTTCCATTTGAAACAGATTTAATTAAATCGCCACAAACAGGCAAACATTTTGGATATGTATTCAAAATTCTTAATATTAATTAGAGCGAATCTAAACAAGACCTATCTTGAGAATATGAGACTTCAGGCCAAGTAGGTATAAACAACAACAAATTGCCACATAGAAAGTTTATAAGCAGTTTACTTTCAGTCTCAGAACAAAATTGAACTCAATATGCAACAGAAATGAACTATCTGACAGTTTGCGGAGCTTTAAACCAGAATCACGAGAAACTACAACTTACTCGGCTTGTATGGCGATTTCACTCACATTGGGAGCAGTGCAGCTCAATCTCTCGATTTGCGCTGCCCGAAAGACCGACATTCGTATATTAAGGAGAATTTTATTCTTGGCGGCTTACAAAAATCCCCCAGGACAGTACGGGCCAATAGAAAAACTGAAATTGAGGTCATTATAAAATTCTGTATATATCTTTTATTCAAACTATTTTAATAAATAATCTAAAAAAGTCCTTCTAAATGGTTTTTCTGTTTGTTTGAATATATCATTTATGTTAGCTAAGTAACTAGGACAATTACAAATATTATCTAGTTAATGTTGTAGGTATAATTTTTATCTGTTGATCAAATTTGATAAATTCTAAATTTCTTGAAATGGAAGTGGTCCCTCGATATGAATATGAGGTTATTATTCCACCGGAAGGTGGTTATGTTTCTCTTGAATCAAATGTATACAATCTGAATAATATTCATAAACCAATTACTGACGATCAGTATGCTGTATTTTTCATTGATCCAACTACAAACAATACAATTAATTCACACGCGCGTTTTAGAGGTGAAAGTATCCATGAAACACCAGACACAACGAGAAAAACCGACCATACATCTCTACATCAACCCGCAGATATTTGTAATATCACTTCTATCACACTGCCCGCTCCTTTGCAATACTTAGAGCCTACCCAACAATGCAGCACAAGCTTCCATCACCATTGTCTTCCTCTTCAACTAAAGTATTTTCATTCTCTAAGGAACTTTACAATACTAAGCCAAATTGGCGTTGGACAATTTAGTAGTGTCTATCGTGCTGAGTGCAATCAACCTTTTGGTCTTAATGTAGCCCTTAAAGTTATCAAGGTATGTAAATCGCCCCAGGCTTTGATATTGCATAGTGGTTAATTACCACTCTTTTCAAGGAAATGCGCTTTTGGATAGTTGTTATCATTGTAGCAAATAGTTTTCTGTGTCATGCTTTGTATGCATTGTCTAAATGTGGTAACCTTCGTTGACTGGTTTGGTATATCTTTGACTAAGCTTGAGATTACGACTTCAACTTTGAGTTCATCGAAATATCTCTTATTTCTATTTCTGTTATAATCTTATAAACAGGATTTGCTTACGCTATCATTTATCTTTGATAATCATACTTTTTGAAATATTTTGAACTGCAGGTGAAGTTTCTGTAAAACAAAGTTAGCTATATGCATAAAAGCTCTATATCTCGAATACGTAGTGCACCAACTCAAAGACATAGTGGAGTAAATCTTGATGGATTATCAGCATACTCTACTTTGTCCAACTACGAAGTGCAAGGGTCTATTGGACAAGGCCAGTTTTCAACCGTATGGCAAGCTTTTCACACTCCGTCTCGTCAGACAGTTGCTATGAAAAAAATTAAGGTTAATCCAGTTTTCTGTGACTGTCGTCCACATTTGTTGTCCACCAAACAGATGTTGTGTATGTCGATTTAGATTTGATTATTTGCATGCAAACCAAATACTGTATTACTTTGTATTTAAATGTCAAAAACAAGGCAATTATAATTTGGTTTATTCCTAACCCCAGTTATCATAGGTTTCGCATCTTTTACTGACCTTGTTTTCCGTAAACCTCAAAGTGTTTGAGCGATTTGTATGGTCTGTCACATAAAACTCAACTTTAAAACAAAGAAATATCAATAAGAAGAGTGAAATTTATCAACTCCTATATGTAGGATAAAATAGGTGTTTATCCAGCTTTTCAGTGCATATACACATATACTGCTATTTTTGTTTGCTCATGACGCATATATACTTGTATTAAGAGAAACAACGAGATTTCGTGAGGTTTTTCTAATTTCACCTGATGTAAAACAAATGTATTCTGTCCATGTATGCTTACAGAAAAACTCATTACGTTCATCTTTGTGCTAGTGTGTTAATCCTCTGTCGATCTTTAGTTTCAAACTTTTAGAGGGCGGTATTGTGCTCATCGCTCAAAACGTTCGTTTGGTTGTATATCTTACATTTAACTAACAAATATTGAATGTTAAACTCCCTTTATTAAGTCACTTATAAAACTAACTATATAAACAATATGATTACGTTGCCACATCATTTCAAATTTGAGGACAACCAATAGCTACTGTAAGGTGAATAAATCTGGTATCACTTTCACGATCGAAATTTGAACTTTATGTACTCTATTGTTTTGCCAGAATGTTGAGTGTCTCACGTATGACGGAATTCACGAGCCAGTTCCAAAAATACCACAGTAGCTACAAGTGAACCAGAGCTTGGAGACGGGGAAAAATCACGAACGCACTTGAGTATATTGTATTAGGATTATGAATGAAGCAATAGTTGTGAAAAGTATCGTTGTTTCATACACCACATTGATTTTAACAAATAAATGAATGCACAGGATATTTGCGGAATAGTGGATTGTGGCTGGAACTAAGAGGAAGAAATCCCAACATCCTAAATTGGGTTGAAACAGCTTGCTGAACTTGTAAAACATTTAATCGCTGGTATTATTAAAATATAACTTTTACGCTCAATGTATCCGATATCCTCGATGCCCAACCTCCGTCAAAATATATATTTACGGTCTGACAAAAAAGGTAACCTTCAGAATACTAAGGATTACATAGTGAACGCTGCGTATATGAAGATTAAAGTCGGATCCAGTAATTAAGTTGAATGTTTTCTATTTTTCACAAATTTTGAAGACTTCACTACTATATATACCTCTGCTCCTTGCTTGTTAACTGTGAAAGATGAGTTACGTTCATGGCATTTATTTGGCCGATGGTAAAAATTTTTCTTGTCATGTTACTGAGCTTAGAAACTTAGATCGATACATTTAAGTGTCAGTTTCAATGTTGTAATAGAACTAAATTAAAACACAAATTCAAAATTAAGCATGTTTAGCGAACCTAAAGTAAATACATCTATGCTTTATTTCGGTACTGGGATAAGAATTTTTAGAAGCTCGAAACCCTACTACACAATGTTAACATCCTTATATAACGACGGCTTACAAGCGTTTCCTGTTAATTCGACATCCATTTAATGGTAACTGAGCATATATATGATGCTGCTGTGTAAAAATGTTAATCTCTCAATAGAGCATTACACATGGCTGAAAGTTTATCTCCTCTTTAACGCAGATGAATAGCTATTTGATCTTCTTCATAAACTTGACAATGCTGAAAGAAATGACAAACAAGTTACTCCTTCACTTTTTCTTTGAGCACTGAATAATATTTGCTTTTTCGGAAAGAGTGGGAACAGGAAAGTGAGCAGAACAAAATAAATTCATTGTATTTCGTTAGATTTTCATCGGCTGCTTTCATTCTATCATACTGTTGAATCAGAATTATCACAAAGTTGACATACTTATAACAAGGAAATTAGACAAATGTGGACATCTTTTATCATGATGAATTGGCGATCCGGACAAATGTGATGAGATTGAAGAAGTATAAAGATTGTTGTAAATAAATATAATATGTGAGAGAAGATTCTGGAATATCAGCTACAGTAACAAGAGATCGAGTTGAACTAAACATAGGTTTGTTGTCTACTGTGATTTACCTAAGCCTATTTCCTCTATTTTTCACATATTTCTTGATAAGTTTCTGCAAATATTCGTTGTTCGTCAGACATTCCTTTGTCGTTCGTCAGGTCTGCTTCTAGTGTATCAGTGGTACATCTTTGTTCTGCTCCATTGAATAACATTTTAATAAGTGGCTTTTGGTAACTAATATCAAAAAGTACTAAATCGCAAATAAACCCCATTCCATGTATTTTTTCGATAATCTGCCCGCCCAATTGTTCCATTCACCCTGTATTGTATAGCGACATCGAGAAAATGGGACTTATCAACCTATTCATGTTCCATTATAAACCGGATATTTTTATGAGAATCGTTGGATAAGTTTAGAATGTGTTTTGCTTGTTATTGATCATTACATACAATGAAAGTGTCATTGACATACTGCACATTATACGCCATATCATCAATCGGTGAACATGAATGCATATATTAGAACAGGACCAAGTGGACTTGCGATTATTACGCTGTAAACTTGACGGCATATGTTGTTGTCGATTCGAAAGTGAACCTCTTACATGCACATAATAAACATTTATTTGAGTTCGGACACTAATAAAGGTAGAAGTTTAGGTTGCTAGCAAATTATGACAGTGGTTTCAGAAAGTAGTATTTCGGTAAGCAAGAATGTTACATTAAGAAAAACTATTGACTTACCAGCATTGTTTATATACTTAACACAGTCAATAAACTAAAGATGGATTTCCAGTGTATAAGTGATTAACTGTTTAATCCCAACTTAGGTTGCTCCTAATTAATGTCAATTTGTGCTCATTTACTTTATTATGAGGTCACTTGATATTTTTAGCTGTGTGATCTCTTGTTACTGTAGCTGATATTCCAGAATCTTCTCTCACATATTATATTTATTTACAACAATCTTTATACTTCTTCAATCTCGTCACATTTATCTGGATCGCCAATTCATCATGATGATAGATGTCCACATTTGTTTAATTTCCTTGTTATAAGTATGTCAACTTTGTGATAATTCTGATTCAACAGTATGATAGAATGAAAGCAGCCGATGAAAATCTAACGAAATACAATGAATTTATGCTGTTCTGCCCAATTTTCTGTTCTTGCTCTTTTCAAACTAGTCAAGGGATTAAGTGTATGATTTTAGTTCTCCCCTGAATTCAAACACAGGTTTTATTCTTGTACTTTCGAAGATTTTAATAAGTTCCTTCTGTTCCTGTTTTTTTTTGGTAAAACAAACACGCATAAATTTAAGCCAAGAATTTTCGTTAATTAACTTATTTTGTTTAATTTCGATAATGCAATGAGAAGGCGAAGTTTATCAGAATTATGTGATATATTTGCGCAATACATTTCGAACAATCTGATCACACATATACTTTTGTTTAAATAGCGTATGTTTTAATGGATTAAGTAGGAAATCGATAGCGAAACTACCTTCATCTATATAGTTGTAAGGTCTTATATATGATTACCGAAATTTCGGAGATAAACCTTGATTGTATGTCCAATATCTGACTGCGTATTGTCGATATTACACTAATAATTTAGTTTGCTTTTATCAGTATGAAATTATTATCTAGATAAAGGGAGTGTTACTTGTTTTTAAGTTTTGAAAGTTTTTGTTCTGAAAATATGAAATAGCCTCAATACCTAATGGCTGCACTATGGATTACTTAATGTAGGCCATTCGGCTGATATTTGAAAGTGGTTAGGAAGCTTTCAATTTATTGCTAGTGTGACTGAATAAATAAAATGACTTGCCTATTACACAAATTTGTGTATTTTAGACTTCAGACCTTACGACAATATTTATATAAACCTGTTGACAGAGCTATGCTTAACAGAACACCATAATGTCATACTGCTTAAGTTTGATAAGCTAAAACTTCATATCTGATTAGTATAGTCAGTTGACAGTTATGAAAATAACATGAATGTATCAGCATCCAGGATTTAAGCACAACAACCAGCTAGTCTTTCACCAAAAACGTTATGTTAGTTTAAGAGATTTTAGATCATCTTTACTGGAAATTAAAAGTTTCATATCTATTTCTAAGAAAGGTCAGCATATTCCCACTAGTTATGCTGTAACTAATTTTAAACTTCTCAATGCATTATTCTTATGACAGTTTTAAAACAAAATTTTTACTTGCAGATATCTTCTTTCATCTTAAGAAAGTTAGATTTTTGTTTAGAATAAATTTAATACAAAATTTTGATTTGCTTGTTTCTAGTTTGATGAGAGTCGAGAACGTTTCTTATAATTGCGGTCTTAATAAAAGGCTTCGTTTGTAATACTGTGTCCCATAAATCTATCTGTTACTCCTCCCGGCATTATTATTATTATTATCACATTTATTGAAGTCTCTTTTATGTTTATATGCTTATCATGTATCTGGAATTGCTTGTACTTAATAATTTTCATTGCTTATAATATTCTACTTGTGTCAATGATATTTTGTAAATAAGGATACTTATATAGTCACTAAATATATTATTTATGACTTTGTTGAGTCAACTTCTTGTTTGATATTCTTTCTACAGATATTTGAAATGGTCGATGCTAAAGCACGTCAAGATTGCATAAAAGAGATAGACCTATTGAAAGTGAGTTACAATTGTCTTTTATGGATTTTATTGAGCGAAAAAGTAAAATTCTGTTTTATTTTATGAAAGCATTACTTTTTCGATTAGTCGTATATGGTCACGTTATTTCGTAGTTTTTTTTGGCAATTTGAATGGGCAATTAGGTAGTTAGTACAACAGTGATTTTCAGACAGTATAATTCTTAATGTTTCCAGAAAACATTGTATATTTCGTAAATTTATTTATTTATTCTCTGAAGAAGTGGCTTACATCAAGTCACGAAACGGCAGAAAATCTCATTTTTCTACTCATTAAGATATTATAAATATTTTATTTGTAACAATTTACCCAATGCTCAATTTATTCGAAATTATCAAGTCAAACCTTGATAATGGTACCTACAAACTAATTGTATATTTCACATATTTCAATGATTTAAGCAAACATTTTCTCAATAATCAAATTAAATGATAGTTTATCACAAGGAGAATGGCCTCAATGTAAAATTTAGATAAATACAGCCTTGATTTTGATTAGTAAATGTTCTTATATCAAATCGATGTATTATAGAAACTCAATATAACTTTCATCTGATTCCCATTCAGCATGACACTGTTTTATGTAAATGTCAAACTTAAGTGAACCTCTCGTACAATTACGGTAATCTAATACAATTCTTCCACCTTACATAAAATCGACTTTAACTTCCAGAAAATTAAATATTTTTATCTAATACAATAGTTTTACTTTTGAACATACTAGTTATTATGACTTTATACTACTTATGTTTGATAGTAGTAATAACATGCGAAATGAAAATATCACTGATGAAAAGTAGTTTCGCTTAATTTATCCAGAAAAACTGATTTCAAATTCATAATCTATATGAATTCCTCATTAATATTCTGTCTATTTGTTAGGAATATCATCTACATTGATCATTTATAATCCTTCAATCAATTATTTATATTAGTAATATTGAATTATTGTTCTCATAGTGATTAAGCTAATAAATGTTTGAATTTGTTTGTTTATTCAATTCAAAACAACAAAATTAGAGAAAAAAAGTTACATTATGTAAAACACCCAATAGAATTATAAATAAATCTTATTACCTATTCAAAACATCTTTAAACTGTTAAATTTTTTTAGAAGATTTACCTAGTGATATAGAATATGTTTACTGATGTCATTCAAATTTAACGGGTAAACTGTTCAAAATACTGTAACTCATTTCAATAATGATAATAATATTTTGATTTGGAAATAGGTAAATTGGATTAAACAAGGTTGGTGTATCTAAATGCTTCTCACTTGTATATTTCGGTCATGGATTCTTTTTATAAGGGGTATATTTACATATGAAGGCTTAATACATTTTTAAATGATTCAAAGAAAAATATATTGTGGTGTGCACCCCTTATATACACATAAGTAGTATATAATGATACTCAGGAATAGAATATATTTCAGTAGAAGATTGAGTAGGAAAGAACGGGAACAGAAAGCGATTGGTATGAAAATGCAGGAACAATGAAATCTGAGGGGATGGACTGATATTTGCAAAATGAACAGTCAAGTTTGAGACAATTGATTGATATATTGCAAATTAAGTATTCACTGCATAGTTTTCAGATTTTAGTGAGATGTTCTGTAATTTTGTGTCCAAATACATTCGGTTGTCCCCACTCGTGTTCTTGTTTACTACAATATGACTTAAATGGCTGAATAGAAATTTGATTATTCTTCTCTCTATGTTTCACCATAAGTGACTAGAAGTATTTAAAATAAAACCAACTTGTTCGTTATAACCAAAAATGAGTATTGGCTAGCAGTGGAATCCAGGACGCAGGTTTCGTCCTATTTGAAACTCGTCAGCTGGATGTGCCTGCATCTCAGAGCTGATGTTCACTCTGGGAATCGAACCCAGTACCACTCGCTTCAAACGCCATCGCGTTATTCACTTAGCTACTGAGTCTTGATAACCACTTGCTTGTGCAATGGGGTGAAGTTTAATTCACTTGGTATTGTTTTACTTGAATCTTCCCATTGATGTTTAGGACTCCAATTGATCTGTCTCTCATTGGCATATGTACATGCTGTACGTATTGCCCCGATGTTGCCTTAACTTGTTTATTGAGTAAGTTTCTTCTCTTAGAAATAAATGGAAGTAATACTTATCAAGCACTTCTAGTTACTATAAATCACCCACTCATTTTATTTGATATATACTTTATTATTTAATGGATTATTTATTTAGAGATTAGATCATCCAAATGTCATTCGTTATTTGGCATCTTTTGTGGAGAATAATGAATTAATTATTGTTTTGGAACTTGCAGATGCGGGTGACCTATCTCACATGATTAAGGTAATTAAAATTTTTATTACAAATTATTGATTTTAATATTTAGCTTCATTATTGATTGATGATTAAAATCATGAATAGGCGTAAACACTTTTTCATTAGGATACTAGAAAAATACCCTTAGAATAACAGAGAGTACTAAATGTTGTTTCGAATACTAGAAATTAAACAATTATTCCGATTGTTTTGGAGCTCTTCATTAATAGGCATTATGTTCCATGTAATTAACTTTTTCCATTAATTCTTAACTTCAAATTTCAGTTTTTCTTCTTCTTAAGGGAACTAGATTAAAAGTAATTGAACTGATGGAACATACTGTCATTTACTAGATATGTTGAGTGTAACTGTTTATATTAAAATATTTCCAAGTCTTTTGATGCAGAATAATTTATAGAATGTCAAGGTTTGATTAAAATCTCCTTAGAAGATTATTATCATTATAAATGCTTGATTGACCAAGTCCAAATACATCTCTTCAATGGGGGTTTCATAATGCTGACTAACGTATATCATTTATGATGTACACTGTTTTTAGATCGCTCTACTTCTTTTGATAAAACAATTTAAGCTACTATTTTCTGTTAAGTAAGTCGTTCAAAGTTGATGATACAAATTGGTGTTCAGATTTTTGTTGGTTCACAAAGAAAATGTTATGTACAAAGCCGATAACTGGCTTGTAGTCTATGTGATACTGTTGTCCAAATTATTGGGATAAGTTAATTATTATACAAATAAAAAAGATTGAATCATTATAATAATTAACTTATAAGAAACAATTCAGACAAATTATATATTGGTCCATATGTGTAATCTTGGTTTTGGTAGGCAGGTATTGATCTACCAAACTAACATATTGAATGATTTAAGTTTGAATAACCGAAAACCTTTGATTTTTATTAAGATAACAATTACCCTTTACTCAAAGTTTTAGTTTAACAGAAGCTTCTTTAAAGTTATACTACTCATTTATCAATAATCGTGAATATTCATTATTTAAGTAGATGTCATTCTAAATTAATGTGACACTATTATTGTTGAGTCAGTTTTTTTTGTCTTGAACGATCAATGGTTATAGAAATTTCAAGTTCAAGACATTGATTTCAATAGAATGTACTAGATGTCAGACATTTTTTGTCTTATCATCCTTTCAATCAACTATTTCAAAACATCATACATACTACTAGTAAAACAAATATTTTATATTTTCATAATGAATTCTCCTTTTCTAAGCATTTTAGAAAGAAAAAGCGATTAATTCCTGAAAAAACTATTTGGAAGTATTTCGTTCAGATTAGTAGTGGATTGGAGCATATGCATTCGAAACGTATCATGCACCGAGGTAATATATATATACTTATTTATTCATTCAGCTGATTTTTTACGTTACTTATTATGGGTAAATCTAGAACCTGACAAGCTGGTTAGACGATAAATTTAGTTTTGTAGATGCAACATTTTAAGTTCATAAATATTAAAACAACGTAGAGGGACTTAAATCTCACTCATGGATTTAGCTGTTTCTTAATTTGAGTAGTTAGTTTTAGTCTCTTAAAGTGTTGAGAAACACTATAACTTACAATCTATTTCGTACAGCTAAGCATTCGTTTACTCATCAATCTGCTCTTCTCTAATTTATTCACTTTAATTTTATAGATTATTCGATTGCTCGACTTCCAAAAATATTTCATTAGGGTAAGAAAGGATTTCGGGTATTTTTATCATCTCCTTGGCGTCAACTCATCTAATTATATTCATTCTAAACATAGAGATTAGCGCTACTGAATCCAACTTGTCTTTGGTTTTCATTCCTTTGTATTATCAGTGACTTTTAGTGATTCGACAATGAAACAAAGATTCGAGCAATCTGGTAATATGACATATAAGAAACCGTTAAAAAATATTGAATCCATTTTGTTGTCAGCTTGAATACCAAATAAGCGTTACAACGTTAATCCTAATTTTTTTTAGTTTGAAACATAAGATTTGGTTATGAGGATATTTATAGACTTCAGTATAGGGGTTTGTGGAGATTGTAGTATTTCAACAGTTGAATCCATGATCTTGCTTATACTCTTGCTACCTCTACCAGTACGGGATTGAATCGATAACTGCATCTCCGTGCTAATGTGGCATGACAACTCGAACTGATGTACGTACGTACGAAGTTCCACATTGTTACTGACTGACTTTATCCATTATCTTAGGTGGATAACTCTCACGGCCCGACACACATTGAACTCCACTAGCCATGGCTTTTCACTAGGACTCCAGGAAATTCATGTTGAAGCTGGTCATTAGTGAGCACATGATTATTATCAGTATGGGGATTTTTGGAGATTATAGTATTTTCACAGTTGAATTCACGAGTCGATCTAAGCTAGACTTGTTTAAATTATACAGAACGATGATTTAAGAACTATTTTTGTACCTAGTCTGCTTTAAAAATGTCAAAAAGATGACAGATGAAGTTAACAAATATAGTTTACCAGTTGTCAGACGTTCCAGCCTGTGTGAGAAGGTAACGGTGTATAATAATTTGATTAGTGAATAGACGTGTAAATTTTTTACCTTACTAACTGTGTACTTCTAACTTATTATCGAAACATTAATTATGGTCATAACCAAAAAGACTGCATTAATCAATGTCCCCTAGTTACTAATGTTTCTTCTATATCCTTCAACTATACAGTGCTTGAATCGAAACCTGTTTTATCTTTTGTTTTCAGAACTAAAGTATTCTTCAGTCACAGTTGTTTACCAACTTTTTTTTTCTTTTATTATTTGCATAACAATGTTTATATTATCCTTTCAATTTCGTTACACAATTCTCTATACAATATGCGATATAACTGAAGTGTAAGAAATAACATCGTATCTAATCAATTGAATGAGGTCATTTTTGTAGTACAAGGATGTTTACACGTTGCTTTGGTAACCACACATCGTCGGTATTGATAATAAATAATATCATACTAATTAAAATAATGAATTAACATAACCCGATTTTCCCAAGAAAACAACAAATAAGTAAACAAAAAAAAGGAAACATATGATAGTAAATTAAATTTGCTAATGTACAATTTCATTTTATTTTGAAAAAAACTAGTTCAGTGGTATTTTCAATAGTTGAGATCATGAGTTGATTGAAGCTAGACCACTATGGAAAACTTGGAAGCGCTGGATGGCCGTTTCGTCCTCAGCAGTGCGTATCCAAGACTTTGCCTCGCGAAGGTGGTCTACCTTCAATTGACTCATGATCTCAACTATTGAAATTACTACAATCTCCACAAAACCCCTTCTAATACTAATCAATGGTTTTGATTTGATTCACATAGTATTTCTATCAGATAAAAATTGGGAAAAGAAAAAAAACAATGTAAGACAGAATTGATATTTGTGAAAAAAAATTAAAAATGATAACAGGAATTCTTATAGAAATCATTTTGTCAAGATTGAATTAAACATTTTGCTTATTGGCTTGGAAATGATTCATGAAATCAGCACAACAAAATCTTTAGAAACTTTATTAAATCCATGCTAATAGATTTCAATGTATTCAGAATACTTGTATAATGATTCAGTTTATTTATACAATGACGTTTACTTACACTGAATATAATTTGTTGTATATCTTTATTAGATATCAAGCCTGCCAATGTATTTATCAATGTTAAGGGTCAGGTGAAACTAGGAGATCTTGGATTGGGAAGATATTTTAGTTCAAAGACTATAGCAGCTCACTCCTTAGGTAAGTCATTTTTATCCCTTTTATTCTTGTTAAGAATTTCAACAAATCTTTGACTTTGTACACGAAGTATAAAAGATCTGATGATCGACATCGAAAATATATTTTGGATTGTTTCCGGGATATTATTAAATATTACAGTAGTACATTTGATTATATTTTCGGGTTATTAACACCATAAGATCGGCATTAGTGAAAGCTAAAGAGATCAACTGTCATGATTGTAATGCAGCTTATGTAAGAGAAACATCCAAATAATTGAATGTTTACTGGGCCCTCGTATATCTGACTCCAATTTGGATCGTGTGATTATCGTTATCGACTTTTACATATTGCCAATCCTCGTATATAATCATCAACTTAAATCACGTTAGTGAACAACGGAACTGAATAACTCAAATACGAGTATGGATTTTTGAATACGTATATTTTGTACAGTCATTGATCCAGAAAAACCAATCGGAGAAACGAGGAGAAGAAAGCGAAGCGAAATGACGCATAGTTGCATGTCAGCCAACTCGCTTTAATCAAGCGTTACTAAATATTTAGTCGAATTGAAGTAAGACAAGGCGAATAATTAACAAGGTCAAAATGTAACTCAAGAATAATGAATGAACTGGTTTGTCCAGAAGCTAGAACAACCCTTGTGGGCTCGACATTAGACAAGACACTACAAATATGAGGTTGAAGGAACACAAACAATGTTTGAAAAATGTTCCCAAATCCTCGGTTGACATAAAGAAACTTGACAATAGGTCGACGATAACGTTACACGAGTTAGAAACAGGACACAAGATCAGTTTCGAAGGGACCAAAATACTTCAGAAACGGTTGGACACACATAAAGAAAGATTTACAGCAGAAGATATGGGCTAATTAAGGTGGTATTCAACTAGTTACCACTTGGCAAATGTTCATTAACAAGCATTTGGACCCTTTCTCTATCCAACTTATTTATTTCACACACGTCGTTAATCTGATAGAAATTAATCTGGAATTTTTTAGCACTACAGTTATGTATTTGGTGTTTTTGTCATTTCACATTCACATCGACAGTTCAGAAATAACTTCAACTTCGAGCTTTCCTTTATACTTCGTATAAAAACAAATTAACACCTAATATCAACTATTAATAACTCAATCTCACAAATACACACTATCATTCATTCATTTATCTTCACATCGTGAACTTTTCACATGATTCGCACATAACTGACTCATGTTATCCTATTTACTGGTCAATATCTGAATATGATTGGATAAGTACAGTATAGATTTGATTTGATCGTTAACCATTATATATTTATTTGCTGATTTTAATTATTATTCTAAAGAATTATAGACAAGATTACTAAAATAAACGTCGGAGTTATTTCAATCGCTGAGATTATTTCTCTTGTGACGTGCAGTGTCCGAAGTCTGATACTGATACTCAATGTACTACGGTCTAACACCCTCTCGTCAAATGCCTACTCGAGTGAGAACATAAGAGTGAACGAGAAAGTGTATCGGGCTACAGGATGAAATGTAAAAATACCCATTCATATATATACAACTCCATCCTTAGGAAATTAACCCAATGACCCTAGTGAAATTCACTTAACTTTTAGGTAACTTCTGGTTGTCATCGACTGACCTTTTGCTACTTCTGATTAGTTCGCCATATCGATTTCAAATACAATTTTCACGTATAACGTCTTCTCTATACTCGGCGTTCAATTTCTGTCAAACTATTCTTTCTAATATTGACTAATATTCGTGTAAATGATTATATTGCTGTTTTGCAATTAACTATATTTGAGATTATGTTAATAGTTTAATATTCCGGAAGCTAGTTTATATTCAAGATTTCATGTCATAATCAGCAAGAAGACATCGTGTTTAATAATTGTATCCCAAGTCTTTTTATTACAAAAGAGTGAACATCAACTCTGAGATGCAGATACATCCATCTGACGAATCTCGAATAGGACGAAACATACGTCCTGGATTCCACTGCTAGCCACTATCCATCTTTGCTTATAATGCCTGTAAATTAAGGCAATATCGAGGCAATCGATACAGGATGCACATATACCAATAAGAGACGGATCAATTGCAGTCCTTAACATCAATGGGAAGATTCAAGTAAAACAATATCAAGTGCATCAAAAGAAACTTATTTGAAAACGAAAATATTCTGCCTAATAGTATTAATGAATGATGGCCCATTATGTAGAAAGCTCTTATTTTACAATTTTCTAAGATAACAGAATAATCTTAACAGTCAAAATTCATTATTTTCATGTTAACATCTTAAGAACACACCGTTTACTGCATTACGACTCAACAGTGTAGTGTTCTATTATGATAATATTTCATTATTTTGTTACTAATTAGGCTTTATAAATGCATCAATCATTCTATAAATCTTAATTAATTAAAATCCGACTTGAAATTTACATTCTACTTCACTAGCAATGAATATATATAAATCATAGAGTTCTCAGTACTCTGTATATATATATATATATATATATATATATATATATATATATATGATTATGTTTGTTTTTTCTGAAGGTTGGGGGGGGGCATGTTTAGAAAACATTTATTCTTATAAAAATATAACGAAATTCTTTATATTTTAGTAGTTTTTTTCCCTATTTCTCTTTCATTACTACCTTCTAATTTTCATTCCAAAGAATGCAGATAATTATTAGGTTGAGTCAATGAAGCATACAACTTTGAATATTATATTACTACTTATAAATTATTAAGTAGTCTACAATCCTTCACTGAATTCATATCATTTACAGTTCTTTAATTATAATTGTTAGCTTCAAAGTTTAAAGTGAATCTATGAAATGAACATTTCAACTCTACAAACTGTATTGAGAATAAAAATAACCCAAACAAGTTACTACACTACAATCAAGAGATTTTTACTTTTAAACTCATTAAACCTATTAGTGTAGTGAATGAGAACATAAATGGGGGACAATTGAGAATCATACAGTAAATACTTAATTTACAAAATATCAATCAATTGTCTCAAACTTGACTATTCTTTTTTTGTAAATATCAGACTTCATTGTTTCTGCATTTTCATACCAATTGCTTTCTGTCCCCGTTCTTTCCTTTTTCGACCTTCTGCTGCCAGACATTCTAATCTTGACTATCATTGCATATTACTCATATTAATATAAGTAGCACACATCAAACTAGTATATTGCTTACTTCTTTAGGAAATTTTAAAAAATCAATTAAGTTAGATGTAGTAACATAGATTGATAGATTATGTATTCATTAGGGATTACTTACAATCATCTAAAATAAAATAAGCGAAATGGAAACTAATTGCTTGCATAAATTTTGTTACTGATATTTCTTTTTCGTTTATGCAAGTATTGTATTGTATTGTATCCTCACTAAGATATTGGTACAAGGAAGCACCAAATAGAAATGCGCCACACAAATCTCATTTGATTTGTGTGAGGGCTATGATACTGCCTGGGTGCCCAAAATGAAGTAGGTGGTTTTCTTAGGGGGCCACACCCGGAGCCTTCGACTTGAAGGTCTAATCCACAAGGCAGTGGAGCGATGTTAGGAAATGCAGTCCCATGGTAGCCGGTGACCAAGAAATTGGTTCATATGCCATTTGCTCCTTCAGGATCCTGGAGCCCATGTGCACCATTGGTTCGGAATCAGGGATTTCCAAATCCTCAAGTAGACTCTCCATGTCCACCAACCTGGTTAAATTGCCGGACATTCGCTTTTCGTCCACTCAATTTCGTGAATAACACCCCCGCCATGAGAAGACAGTGAGTAGGACTTCCCTGGCAGAAGCTATATACGCGTGGCCATGTGCGGGCACTTCGAGAGGGAGAGCGGACTCTCCCAACTCTCGGCCGTACCAGGGCATTTGGGGGGCAAATAAAAATTCTTTGGTTTAAATTTTACAGAGAAATTCTTTTTTATTTTTTATTCTTGGAAGTATACGACTACAGAAAAAGATGATGCAATTAAACAAACCATTTTTATTTCAGTGGAAGAACCTTTAAACTCCATTAGGTCATTGAACATCTAAGTCGATTTGTAAACTACACTTTTATCATATCTTCAGTAGTCATGAATGCACATTTTTGTATTAATGCCTATTTGTATCCAATACAAAGACCAAATTGTTTATATGATAAATTATGGGTAATGAAATATAAATAAGTAAATTGCAAACACTGAGTGTATTTCATATTCGAAACAGCAACACTAGGTGAATTAGTAACCGGTGTATCTCAAACCTAACTACTCATAATACAGATAAAAATAGATTAGTTCTGCTCATTATGAATTAGTACGTGAAATTATGCTTGTTTATGCAGGAAATAACCATCAATTAAAGAAAATATAAAGTAGTTTTAAGCTGGTTTATCTGTTTTTCTGTTGCACCTATTTATTTCACTTTCTGTTGTAGTTGGTACACCTTATTACATGTCACCAGAACGAATACGTGAACAAGGTTATGATTTTGCATCAGATATATGGTCACTTGGATGTTTACTTTATGAAATGGCCGCATTACAATCACCGTTTTATGGTGACAAGATGAATTTATTTCGTTTGTGCCAAAAAATTGAACATGGTGATTACGCTCCATTACCTAAAGAAATTTATTCAGCTGAAGTTAGTTTATTTTGTTAATGCACTTTTATGTACTAGGCTATTGCTTTATAAGTAGGATCCTTTTTTAATGTGTGTATGGTACTTCAGGTCATGATTCAGTTAACGCTTGTAGATAAGTTCGTTGATGACATACCATACACAGAAGATTATTTTACACTAAAATTATTCAGTAATAAAGGTTTTTCATTTAAATTCAATAAGGAGTCAGATAATAGTAAGCAAATATATACACCCTATTTTTTACGTAAGGCTCTAGTTTCCCCATGCTAGTTGCGGTAACTTTAGCAGTTTCTAGAAGAGGACATTCTAGAGAATGTGACAAATGATTCTGTTGCACTCCATATGTTAGAAAGAACTCCTAAGGGTTTGATTGGGCCCAGTATTAATTAACCGTAACTACCTAATGACTAATCAGTGTGATTTTATATCAACCACCATTTAATTAATGTCAGAAAGATTCCCAACGCTTTTATAGTTGTAAAATGGTTTTGACCGAAAATTGACAGAACCTGGAGAGACGTTGGAAACAAGCTATTTTATCCACATTTGAGAATATCTAGAAGTGAGAAACTTCAAATTCTCCGGAAACTAAACCAAGAACATTCATGCTCCATCTAGTAGGATAAATTTAGAACAGTGACTAGCATTTAATTGTCATCAATCATATCAGTCATTGTTCTGAGATATTTGAAATGTATTTGACATTCTACCACTAGACCACATGGAATTTTCCACAAGACTAAACGTTTGAATCCTAGTAAATCAGGGATCTTGTAGAGACTGACTTAAAACTGTTTCCAATCTTACAATGTTTGAATCCAATATATTCTGATAATCATTAATTTAGATGATACATACAATTATCTTAACATCAATAATACACGATTATATCAAAGTTAAAAGTAGTAGGCATCTTCATAAGATTCGATATAATTTACAAAAATTATAGTATATGTCAAAGTCTATTTCGTGAATTGAAAATATGAGTTTCTTCAAAATGTACTGTTGAGTAAAACTGTAATTCCAACTATTTTGCTGTTACCTTATTTGTGAACAAATCGTCTTTAGAGATAACTGTTAGCATAGATTGGAATAACTTGAATAAAAACAATTGATAGTAAAAACTATCTAACATTTGAAAACTGAATAACACAAAGTATTGTGATGTCCGGTGTCCAGAATCTAATACTGTAACCTCAAGGAAACTGATGCTCCCCGACGGATTCGATCACCCAGCTTCACAGTCGAAAGCGTTACCATTCAGCTATCCGGACCACTGGGTGGTCAATGTCATGTATATCAGGTCCTTCTCAGTTCAAATCGAATTCTGTCGACCAAGGTGCAATGCGGCTACCTGTCTAAGTGATCAGTCACATGGTATGGTATGCTATGTGCTAGTCCCCCGACTGACTACTTGAGTGAGAACAAACGAGTGAGCGAGAAATTGTATTGGACTACCGAATAAGATGAACGAATACTCATCCATATATATATATATATATGAAATGAGCTTGACCTTCTTATCACTTCTGATTGCTAACGATTGACCTTTTCATTGAGTTACTTCTGATTGGCACTCTATATCACATAGTTTTTTATTTATTTATTAACCTCTTATAAGCAAGTTAATTGCTTGATAATTTCAAGTTGTACATCTTTTTCTTAATTCATATCAAAACTATATTTTATCATTACAGCTTCGTGAATTGGTCACTGTATGTATACAAAAAGAACCAACGAATAGACCAACTATTACACATATTTATAATATAGCTAAAGAGATGCATGAATTACTTAATGGAAAAATTTCCACCTCTCCTTCATGTTCTCAACTTGATTGTCGACCATCTTCAGCTATTACAAAATAATTCTGTTTATCTTTATTTTCCTCTACATCGAATATATACAATTGATTAATTATATTTATTGTCTTTCAATCTTTTCTTGAAGACCATATCAATAACACCTGAATATGAAGATGTTTCTTTTAAGATATAACACAAACAAAAGAATAAGATAAATTCACTTAAACTGCTGTCTAATACACGAATGTATAATTGACAATTTATTTTTTAAATATTCTCATACTACTGAATTCAAAATAATATTGTGCTGATTCAAATTGAGTTTGTTTTTGTTTTTGTTTTTGTTTAGAAGAAACATTTTTTCTTGCCTTCTCCTTTTTTTTCTCTTTAATTATTTTGTATCATATCGTAGTAATTTTTAGTTTTGTATTGAAAAAAAAAATAAAGAAAAAGAAAAGAAAAGAAATGAAAAAATAAATAAGTAACAACCGAGAACAATAAAAAAACTCATTTGAATAGTTTCTATTTACTTTTCATTAGAAATAGTTTATCATAAATGAGAAACGTGTTTTCACTTATGTAATCACATATCATTTATCAGTTATGTAACAAAACTTCCATTCATTCTTTCTATATTGTTTTGTTTTGTTTTAAAAGAATTTCATGAATTGATTGCCTCCACTATTATTATTCCATTACAGTTTGTTCATATTAATTTCTGCTTTCATATTAGATTTAGATAAATAGAATTTTATTCTTTGATTATAATTTATAAAATGAATTAATGTTTTCATTATGTAATACATGTGATGTCATTGTAGCTTTATTATTAAAATGAAACGGTTTACTCAAATGAATAATGATATCCTCTATGAATATTGTTATCATAGTTTAAGAAATGAAATGGATGAAAAATATGTTTATATGAGGTGATAAAATAAGTTGAATAAGAAAGATTAGTTCAGCGAAGAGTTCTCTTTTCAGGGTGAATTCATTTCCAGAGCTGTACAATCGCAAATATACATATACTTATTTTTACAGGATGATAATATTAATGATAATAAACTTCTGTTATACATGTTGACAGTGAGATTAAATAAACAAAGATATCAAAGAATTATTAAACAACAAAAGTTCAATAATCGTTTGATTGTTATTGGCTTAAGTATTCATCAAAAGAGAAATAGGGAAATTATCATTGGGAAAGGATGGCTCAGCATGATAAAATAAAATGTTGAAACAGAGATGAAATGTAATCGGAATGATCTTGGAAATAAAAACAAACCAGTTGGTGGTAGAAGACTTAAAGGGAAGATGGAAGGTGAAGCAGATGATTGTAAGGGAACAAGAGCATGAAAAAGAGAGAAAATTTTAATACATTAAGACCATGGTAGAGGTTGTACCAGTCTCTTTTGCACACACAATTCTGGTTTTTCCAGATGTATGGCTATTGCTTTGACAATGCAGAGAAGATGCAGTCTAATTGTCTTAGGAAGGCTTCTACTTACCTTGTAGATGACTTTGAATGCAGTCTGTCTTGATTGAATGACCTGTGTTCACAAGGTGTTCGACTATAGAACTTCTTATTGAACCATTGCCTCCTCCTTTTAGCCACGCTGGATAATGTTCTTGAATGCTTTTGGAAACTAACTTTTACATTGTATATTATTAATTTATGTGATATTGCACTTGTTATCATTTCAGAATAAAGTGCATAGAAACTATAATTCATAAATAGAAAAACCAGTAATAATTTGAAAACTAGTCTTAAGAATAATTTAATTACAAAATATAAAAGGCTTCATAAATAAAACACTAAATAGTTGCTTTATTTATATATGACGTAATAGTTAAGATGAAGCTAAAGCCTATTTTAATAGTCTAACAACATACAATCTATACATAATGGAAGCATCTTGTTTAAATACGTTATGTAAATAGCAAAAACTATATAAGAGATGATCAGATTAGATTCAGTTCGAAAACAGCATAGAATCATGACAATTAAATTATTTTTTATTAAGTAATTTAAACAAAAGCAAATTTTTTTTACTGAACCTAGAAACTATCGATTAACCTATTTCTCAACTACATGATATAGTTTGCAAAATATAGTTAACTGGTGGTGTGTGCTACTTATATTGACATAAGTAGTATGTGATGTTACTCGTGAACAGAAGGTCTGGTAGCAGAGAGACAAGAGGATCAAACAGTAAAGAATGGAAACAGGATGCAATTTGTATGAAAATGCAAGAACAATGAATTCTGAGTCATTTTGAGACAATTGGTGGACATTTTGCAAATTAAGCATTTACTTTATGATTGTTAGATTTTAGTAAGAAGTCCTATAATTTTGTGTCAAATACATTCGGTTGTCCGCACCCGTGTTCTATTCACTACAAATTCTTTATATTTCGATGCTTTCTCTTTGATTAGTTATAATTTGAGGAATTTGTTCGATGAGACTATAATTTATGGACGATTTCTGAGCGATACTTGAGTGACTTTGAAAGTGTCGACCCAATAACTAGGACCAAATGAGTGTTATAAACCAGTGTGGGTAATTAGATATATGATTTAGAGTTGATGGTTAAGGTTAGGAATTAGATTTTGAGTTTTCATCACGAAATAATATAAGCTATAATGCCAAAATTCTATTTAACCAAACGAACGAGTGCATTTTGTGCCAAAATTCGAGACCTGTTATCTTATACCTGATCGGTTCGTCCATAAATTATAGTCTTGCCATTTGTTCATTTTGAGTTACTAACGTAATTTACAATTTGAGGAAATGAATTTTCCATTGATAAGGAATAAGTGGTTTAGAATGTACACATTATTAAGAGTTGAATTGTTAACAGGGTTTTTTATAAATGCTTGGAATGACAGTTCTAGAATATTTAATAAAAAAACTTTATTACATGATATGACAAAAATCTAACAAACTTAGCAAGAAGAAACACATGTCAGTTAAACGCGTTAAAATTTCACTGTAATTAACTAAAGAACAATATTCAAGAAAAAAGTGTGAAAATGCTTTGACTACCAGGACAGATAAAGGTGAACTTCAGACATTTCTTGAGTACAAAGGTCAAGTTGAAGTCTTCTAATTACTCTGAATTATATAAAGTTTATTAATGTAGATCTGAATTATTTACTGTTTAAGTATCGTTTCGAATTATGTTAGTAATTCGAGATAACTAGGCTTACTAGCTTGGCTGTAGCGAAATACAGAGAACACAGTGAATATTGTAGTTTTCACTTTATTTAAATTACAAATGTGTCAGAAGTTTAATACGTAAAACGGTCTGACAGGTAACGATGATAAATATATAAATAATGCTAGAAACATGACTAGCAGCCATCTTACAGTGTACCATGTTATATAAGTATAATAAAGACTGGCCGAACACTATCCACTACAATTACATGAATAAGTAATTGTGTCTAGGATACTCCCTTGAATTCTAACTAGTCAGTAGGAATATATTTGAGACACGTTCAAACACAATTGCTTACAAATGTAGGGTTGTTCATAGATAATGTAGATAATGTTACTTTTAGAAAATTAAAGTATAACATAAGAAATTGTGTATACAGTTAGCGTGTTAAACAGATTTACATTACTGAGATCTTATGTCACGTTTACTGCTGTTGATATATTTTTGACTGAATTTTTATATTCCAAATCGCATTACGAATCAATAAAAATTGACTTGGTATTGTTTGCTTGTGAATTTAAACTTCACCTCATTGAACAAGAAGGTGGCTATCAGGACTCTGTAGCTAAATGGATGACGTGATGGAGTTTGAAGTGAACGGTGCTGGATTCGAGTTCCCGAATGGTTATTAACTCTGGGATGCAGGCACACTCAGCTGACGAGTCTCAGAAAGGACGAAGCGCGCATCTTGGATTCCACTGCTAGCCACCATCTATCTTTGTTAATAAAAATTGGTTTAGGATTTATACCCTTGCATAAGTGAATGGCTACACTGACTCAGTAGCTAACTTGATTGAGAGTTAGCTTTCTGAATCTAAAGGTACTGGGTTCAAATCCTAGGGTGAACATCAACTTCAGGATGCAGATATATCCAGGTGACAGGTCCCAAAACTTGTGTCTTAATTTCCACTACCAACCATATCACCTAATTTAGATGGACCGAATTCACTTAACAATTAACTCGCACGATTCTTCATTAACGTAATTTAGTAGAAATGACCATAGAAATATGAACAAATATATAGGTCGCTAATTAACCAAAATTCTAAGATGATGTCAATTAATCCTACGATTAACGGCCATGATATACAAATACTCTGCCGAGAGTTGATTCTTACCGACATAGCCTAAGTAAATGTAAACTTCACTGCCAGTAAACATTAGTGATGAACAACACGCAACCGAATACATGTAAATAATCTTTTAATAGAGTAAAATATAGGTATATTGGAGTCCTATCAAAAGGATCAATGATGACTGTATTTCATTTCTTTTGCTTAAAGGTGTCAATGCAGCAGAGACATCGGTGACTAAAAACTAAATTCTTGTTAAATAACACAGGAGTGCATCTCGAAAACTTCACGATGAACCCGTTATTCAACAATAGTCTAGTGTTTGTAATTGTTTACTCGATCGAAAACTGGCATATATAAACAATAGACAGTGTGGTTAAATCAGCTGCAGGTTTTGATATTTATTTGACAGGCCACGTAATTTATAAATCCTATTTTAACGTTACCAGTACCTTTTTCACTATGTAAGTGTTTCGAGATTGATTTCTGTTCGTAAGTCACATGTCTAACCAAATATAACTGGCCAATACAACTTTACTTAGTTCGAACAACACTTCTTATTTAAACAATAGAATTCACAACTTCATTCGATCAAAGAAAAAGGTGTTCACAATGGGAGTTAATACTGAGGACAAAAAAGTCGTTTTCTTACCAGTTGATGCCAGTGATCATTCTGCTCGAGCGTTTCAATGGTATCTGGATAATTTAAGAGGGGAAAACGACGAGTTACACTTTTCATTTGTCATTAAACCAATATTTACAACACCAACAGTTGAACTGGCTATGGCATCTTCACCAATAACCGATATTATACAGTCAACACAAGAGGACATTGAAAATGCAAAGAAACTTTTACAAAAATACTTGATAAAAGCAAGGCGTTTCGGTATTTCTTGTCAAGCATTTGTTCATGTACATGCTAAACCTGGACCAACTTTGGTAAAATTCGCTGAAGAACAGAAAGCAGATATTATAATAATGGGATCCAGAGGACTTGGTTTGATTGGCCGTACATTACTTGGCAGTGTTACAAACTACGTAATGCTTCATACAAAAACTCCATTGGTAGTTATACCTCCTCCAGTAAAATAATTCTTATCTATTGCTGTTTCAATACTATCTGCACTCATTAACCGAGGATAGCTTTTATTATTTTGAAACAAATTGTCTGTATGTCATGTAATTGCGTATAATATTTTAATCCTTTCAGTGATCGTTCTTTTTTACAATCTTTAAGCTTGTGTGTTTAGTTTAAAAACAAGGAGGTTTTTAGATGTTAAAAAGAATGTGATTAAAACTAAAAGGAATATTTTAATTTATTAAGCACAAATACTTATAAATTTGTACAACGATCTTGTACATCTACAAAGGCATGTTAACTAAGATTTATCACATAATCGCTTTAATATAGTAAAACATACAAACATACAACATTCATTGAACAAGTAATGTGCATCATAAATTTCCAACCTATCAGTGCTTAAAGTGATAAATGTTTGATTACAGTTAGAAGGTAAGATTAGGTGGTATGACTTTGTATTTATAATAGTTTGTAAGCATATACTTTTTTAAACTAAGCATCCAAATAAGTAGTATTTTAGTAGAATTACATTCCACACTACGGCGTGCCTCAGAAGATAGTCAATATCATACAGAATTTCTATGATGGATTAAACTGCAAAATCGTGCATGGAGGACAGTTGAAAAACTCGTTCGAAGCAAAGACCGGTGTCAGGCAGTGTTGCTTACTCTCACCCTTTCTCTTTCTCCTGGTGGTCGACTGGATCATGAAGACGTCAACATCTGGAGGGAAGCATGGGATACAGTGGACATCCAGGATGCAGCTGGACGATCTAGACTTCGCAGATGATCTGGCCCTCCTATCGCAAACGCAACAACAAATGCAGGAGAAGACGACCAGTGTAGCAGCAGCCTCAGCAGCAGTAGGTCTCAATATACACAAAGGGAAAAGCAAGATTCTCCGATACAAAAGAGCATGCAACAATGCAAACACAATTGACGGGGAAGATTTGGAAGATGTAAAAACCTTTGCATATTTGGGCAGCATCATTGAGGAAAACGGCGAATCTGATGCCGATGTCAAAGCGCGAATCGGCAAAGCAAGAGCGGCATTTTTACAACTGGAGAACATCTCGAACTCAAAAAATTGTCAACCAACACCAAGATCAGGATTTTCAGTATAAATGTCAAGACAGTTTTACTGTATGGGGCGGTAACTTGGAGAACTACGAAAGCCATCACCCAGAAGATACAAGTGGCTATTAACAGCTGTCTACGCAAAATACTTCTGATCTGTTGGCCAGACACTATCAGCAACAATCTGTTGTGGGAGAGAACAAATTAGATCCCAGCGGAGGAAGAAATTAGGAAGAAGTGCTGGAAGTGGATAGGACATACATTGAGGAAAGTACCCAACTGCGTCACAAGACAAGCCCTCAAATGGAATCTTGAAGGCCAAAGGAGGAGAGGGAGACCAAAGAACACATTACGCCGAGAAATGGAGACAGAAATGAGAAGAATGAACAAAAATTGGATAGAACTGGAAAGGAGGGCCCAGGACAGAGTGGGTTGGAGAATGCTGGTCGGCGGCCTATGCTCCATTAAGAGTAACATATGTAAGTAAGTAAGTAAGTAAGTAAGAATTATATTCCTATAAACTACTTGATGTACAAATGATAACTTTAGATAATATACTCTTTCAGGCTAGTGATTTTCTACACTAATAGATTTGTAGACCACCATAATAAATTGTTGATCTTCCTGACCGAGTTCAGGTATAACCACAAGTGACTATTCTTAAATTTATCAATACACTGAAAAACAAACAAACGTTGCATAGCTTCCATTTATCCTGAGAGAATCAATTGTTGAATTCAAAACAAAGATATATATATTCTATAGAATGCCTACTAGTTTAATATGAAAAAGAAGGGATACTAAAAATGTTTGCATTACTTTATAGGACATGATCCATAAACTATTTTAACAGAAGATCAGTCACAGAGTTGTTCCATGAAAAAACAACATAATCAGAGTTGACATAATTTCGGAGTATAATAGTAATTCCAGAATACATACCGTAACAGTTATAAATCTTGTAAGTAATATAGAAATAATACCATAAGTGTTTTGAAATAAGAGACACCACACTTTTTAGTTGGAAGGTACATCATATAGTTTAGTCACTAGTTATACAGTTTGGTGCATCATATAATCATGTTCAGTATCTACTGATCATCATTGCTAATTTACAGGCTTGTAGTGCGTTGAGTCGTTGTATAAAGCATTTAACGTATAGCACAGAACAAAATTTACTGAATTAACACAAATGTAGATGACGTGGGTCGGATGAAGGTTTCTTATAATATTCAGGTATGCAATCAACTTTTCATTTCTTGCAAGCGATAGGACACACCGTTTAGGATTTAGTGTTTTTTTTCAGTGAGATGACTGAAAAATAGCCTCCACGAAAAAAGCAATAGTGTTATGTGCTCTTAGTTTGGCCACAAGATTCATAAAAGCATCTGCAACTAGAAAGAGGAAAACGAAACCAGAGATGATGCAACAAAGCAAAGTCACTGCGATGGCTTTCAATTTATCTGTTCTTAGTTATTAAAGACTCATAAAGGAGGTTCTCTTAACTCACCTGTTGTTCAAAATACAAAATAAATGATGCAAGTACAGTAAAGTTTGTGATTAACCAAGTGTGACATTAGTTATTCATAGAGTAAAAACATAAGATAATAATATGAAAGATATCGTTATCATTATATTTATTTATAGGCATTCATACATTTTACACACTCATATTTTCACTGGTCAACAGTGTTTTAAACGTTGGTGTAAGCGTTCTTAAGACAGTGTCGGGAGAGAGAGCATTATTGATTTATTATGTACATAATCGTAATTAGTTGGTTTCACAGGCAAATTATTCGAAATCCTTAAAAATTTAGTTGTAAACAAATTCTCTAAGATAATGAATTTATATTGAAAAGTCATCTCCTATGGTAATGAGAAACGACTGATGTAACCCTATGATTCTGTACACTGAATTGCACGAATAAATGTTAAGGATAATTTATTTCAAATTTTGAAGAAAAAGACTATATTTAATTAAAGGTGCTATTTTCTTGAAGGACCAAGTCCTAGCTTAGTAAATCTGGATTTTTAGCCTAATGTGTAATCGGTCCCAGAAATACTAAGTTTAAGAAAGCAAAACAGAAAGAAATCCTTGGTTTGAATACTTCTAGGGATGAAAGTGAAGTATTTTAGTGGTGATTCAACACATACTTTGTAAAATAAACTGGGTAGTTGTTGCGGAGGTCACATAGTTTACAACCCTGAAGTCAGGATGTTATGAATACCCGTATTAAGATAACTCGAGGAGAAAAATTGTAGGAATAATTGCGTCTCAAATCTACCATTTAGTTGAGACCGACAGTAAATTTACAATTAAATTGCAATGAAATCGGTAACATTCTTCTTCAGAGAACTGTAAGGAAAGGGGTTTCCCATATTTGTTTTAAATGTATGATGTCAGTCTGAACCTCTGGGCTCCAAGAATTTCGTCTGTGCATAAATGTCATATTCTCTATGCTTTACTTATTCGCTGGACTGTATTTGTGAGCTTTCAGAGAGGGCATTATTTCGAGCAGATAGTGTGGTTAAGCAATGTAATGCTCTCCGTTTCATCTCCGTCAATCAGGTATGGAAATATTCATGAGTATGCTTCGTATTCGTGAGTACGGTTCACTTGATATGGTTAGTTCCTCAGGACCAACGTGAATCTATTCAAAGTTATCACTTATATATAACCGTTTGGGTCAGTTCGATTATCTATTTATGCATATAAGTTGTAAATATAATTGTCCGAGCATTAGTAACAAAGTTGTCAACACTGTTTTTAGTCAAACGTCTATATTGTCGTGGGACAACTTACCATTAGACTATGTAATTAGTTTAAAAAATAACAATTTATTCTAGAAAAATTCAGAATATAAACACCTTATGTATAGTTTACACGAATAATTGATTGATCCAACTTAGGGACAAATGTTCGTATAAATTATACCTTGTGACATAGTAATTAAGGTCAATAATTATTTGAAACAAAAATCCAATCATTAAAATCAATGACCAATCAATTCTTGTTTGTGAGAGTATAAACACGTCACATTTATCACAAGATCCCCATGAATTAAATTCTCATACGGATAATACACCCATACTTCCCAAGATAAAATTGTTTACATGAAATCGGTGATTACTATCCATTTATTGTTATATTTATAATAAGATTATTGTATTTTAGTAAACGTATGCATTTGCCATCTCATAGATAATACTTGGGTGGACAAATTTAAATATTTAACCACAGAATGGTGAACTGTAATATTTTACTCTTGAGAAGATACACCAATTGGATTAAAGATATTTGTCTATGGGAGAATACAGAATATATTTCAAAAATGTGATATTTATAAATTAATTTGATCAAGCATTGACTGTTTATTACATTTTAAATGACAGTAAGGTTAAATTTAATTCATAAAAATGTCTAGATAGAATAAATTTAACTGTGGTTAGTGCTCTCTTAGTGTAAGTTCAAAAGCCTTAATGCTAGTGAAGATTGAGTGGGAACTAGAATTCATATATTAACATGTGGTTGATTGTTCTATTCATCAATGGTGATAATTAATTGAATACCTTTTCATATGTATGATATTGATTTAATGACTTAATCTGCAGAAACGCCGCGGATAATCGGACCACAACATATTGATTTTTATGACATAAAATAACCAACTCCTTTTAGACTTCAAATTTATTATGACAACTGGTGATTACTTACTATTTTCTCTAACTATTTGTAGATATTAATTCTTCACTAATTAGATGGTACTACTTCTCTCTTAGAATTAGTTTACAAGGACATATAAATGAACAGTGTTATTTAAAACTAGATTTTATTCAGGCTCTATTCTAATATGTAGTTAAAAATAGATACATAGAGATATGTAAAACGTAAACGAAAATACTTTTTATAATAAACTTATTTTTAACACTAATGATAAGTCTTCTTGTGCTGGTAACAAAATTCAACACAGTATTTTAAAATAAGCAAACATTTCAACCTACAGAGTAGCCCAAAACTGAAAAATTGTCCCTGGGCTTCGCACATCAAAATGATCAAATTGAGCGGTTAGAAATAGCTATTAAGGGGTTTATTAGGTATATAAACAGCTGCTTCTTTCTAGTATAGAACCTCTCAATAGTACTCACCACTCTGCTTTTAAAGATCCGCCAACTGAATTTAACTAGTAGCAAACACTACCCATAAATTAATCTCCCCAAAACTTGTTTGATACTACTATAGTCTTACTCACATTGAGAAAAGTTCCTGGTTTTCTAGTTAAGAGTGATGAGCGGAGTTCAAATACAAGACTGAAACAGTTTACGCCAATGACCATGAATGATCATCGAGCTATATTATAAACTGACTGACGTCGGGAGTGTGTACAATCTGATATCCATCCAGTAGTGTAACGGTTAGGTACTTGTCACGAGACCTGAATCCTATGAGTTGGATCTCTGAATAGGTCGTGAGCACTCGTGAAGTTTCATTCAAGCAATAACCAAGAAGAATAGAAACCTTAAAATTGACTAAATTTACCAGAGCCATATCTAGTCTTCTTTTCGAAAGTTTGATGAGACTACTTTACTGCTACTAGTAGTAAAACAAATTTCTCAAACATGCAGTTGTTGTCTCATCCCATCAAGGCGTCTACTGAATCAGTTAACATAATAAATATAAGATGAACTCTCGGTTCAATGAAGATGACGAAACGAAATCACAATAGAAACTTACTCGAATAAAGTTTCAGGCATCAACCAATTAGTCTGACGATTATTTGTTCAATGAGGCCAACATAGAAATCTTAATTTCAAAAAATAACGTAACAGAATTCAATGTTGAGTTTGTATGGATTGGAATATGTGGTATCTTTTGTTCGGTTATATTTGCTGATGTCAAGAGTATCATATCTTTTAAATTCTTCTTGGTACCTAACCATTTAAGACGAAGAAATGTTATTCTGTTTACTTACTATGTTTATCCATTTAATTTGAATATCTTTCAGCAAACTCCTATTTATTTATTTAGTATCAAGATTGTAATGGATTTATGAACCTACATGAACTTGTGGTACCAAGTATATAGGGAGGACTGAGAGGACAGTATATACATGTTTTCCTCGACATCTATGCCTGAAAGGAAGTGTTCACAAGTATAATTACTAGAGCTTTAATGGACAGTAGGCAAAACATTGATATCACAAAGTAGTTGGCAAGCAAGGAACGCAGGTTTAAGAGGTCATCGCCATGAAACACTTTTGGCTTAACATATGTACACATGGAAAATGTGGAAAACCTCTCTTTGTCATAGTAAAACGATAATAGTAATGAGACTTTACTAATTACATGATACTTGATGATTATCCGCGATCGTTCGCTCAATATTTTACTTCAACTATCCAGTTTGATTGCATAATTACCGGTTCATTGACTGTCTCATGTTGTTTTCGAATTATTAGTTATGAATTCACTCCTTTACACCACTGCATTTTCAACCTATAAATATTTGTCAATCCAAGACACTATATTTAATAACTGATTTTGTTTATTCTTCCAGTTCTTATGATAGTTTTGCCAATCTCAACTTCATTGACTAATGTATATAAAAGCATATACAATAATACTACTATTTATAACTTAAGGCACTTTAAAGTTGATGATCTTTGAAATGAGATGAATTCACTTTATTTGGTAAATTTTTTGTTCATTCAAATTCTACTCTTTGTTCAATATGGTTCATGGCTGCTAAGCATTACTTCTACGAATTACATGTTACCTTTTCAGAAGGATGTGTACAGCATATGAAAATCTTCATATTCTCTTTAATCATAATCGAATTCTTCATATATTACGTATAGATCACTTATTTTGTTATAAATTTGTAAACATTCATTCATAGTAAACATCTTTAATCTCTACTTTGGTGATGATAACAGAAGTCATAAATTTTTGGAAACGAAGTATCATTTAAAGACTGATAACAAACCCTCAAATTGTCCCAATCAGATGATGACACGTTTCCAACCCGATTTTATACGGACTGAGTAAAAGAAATATTGTCAAAGACATCTTGACGTTTTTTTTCATTCCATTATAGTATTAGCGAAATTTATGTACTATTACTAACAGATACAAGTTTGGGTAATAAACCGTGGCTTTTCTAACCCCTTTCTCATGTTAAAACATTCGTTAATGATTGACATTTTGCTAAGTTCATAAGGAATAATGAGCCTCTTGAATTCAATTAAGACGCGACACCAATGCTATTTTTTTGTGCCCAGTTGCATTATCTGGAATTTTCTCTAATTCATTAATCTCAAAGAATTTCGTATTTTTCTAGATCTTAATAACGCAAAAGAAACCTTAACAGATTAATATGAATCTTCTTATTTTATGTATCCTAGTTTAGTTTTTCTTTCATTTCTAATAATCTTCTTTAAAATCTCTTTGGGTTAGTTGTTATCTGTAAGTTTAGACAAAAGTCTATTCAATCCAACCTGTTGATCTTCCTTATTAAGAACTCAATCTTACACATACATACACACATACAATTTGTTCAGTCATTTATTTTCACATCGTGAACTTTTCAAATGATCCGCATTTAACTGGCTTGTATTATCCTATTTACTAAAATCAACATCCAAATATGATTGGATTAGTATAGTATAGATTTGATTGTTAAACGCTATATATTTCTTTGATGAATTTGATTATTACCCTGAAGAATTCCAGACAACTTGATTGGATGAAACGTTAAACTTATTTTAAATTTGAATCACTGAGATTATTTCAACTATAATTTTCATATATAATGACTTCTCTATACTCGGTGCCCAATTTTTGTCAAACTATCCGTTCTAATATTGACGAATATTTGTACAAATTTCATGTTTGCTTTCAGATAGATCAGAGAAAAAGCATATGCGACGAACCATAAAGCAGAAAGATAACCTTATGTTATAAAAACATTGTTCAATTTTGAGTCGAATTTCCACTATTCCCACTGTTAATATTTTATTTAACGCAAGGAAGAAGTAATAAACTGTTTCGCTTCGTCTAACCTAACGGGAGTGTTCAAAAATAAAGTTCAATTAACTTAGTTAGAAATCGCAATTTGTTTTAAATATACTCTTAAAAAGGAATATACTTTACCAGAGATCTATAATTTCATATGGTTTTATATTTGAAATTAGGCACTCTACCTTTCATATTTCCTCCAAAACGGTAGGATAAAGAAATTACTATCAAATCGTCTAGTTGTTAACAAGATATTGTAATTAAAAAACCTGTGTTGTGTGTACCGATCGTGATCAACCAAGATAGAGATTTAAGTTATTATTATCAGCCGACAAGTTTACATTCATTTAACTAGTTTGGGAGTGATGTTTGATCTAACTACCCAATAAACAATAAAACGCTGAAAAGGATATCAAGCAGAGACCTTTGTTCATAATAAATCTCATATAAAGATAAAAAACATCTCTAGATTTATTTCCATAAGTTCGTGTATCTTGATTAGTAAAAATTGGTACATAACATTGATCACAGATATAGTGTACAAATGAACCAATCATTCAACATCTTCATTGAATTCAGAATTTACGTGAGCTACTAATTCCTTAGCGGTGTGTCCCATGATACACGGACTAGGTTCAATGTTGGCTAGTCTCATGAAATGTAATCGTTCAAAACGTCCGATATAATGTCGTATGCTTTTAGCTCCACGCCAACCAGAAAATACAAGTCTGCAACGAGGTAAACTATCACATGTCCACGATTCATCCTATTTTATCAATATAAATTTAAAGAAGATACAGATAAGCAGTTTAAGTGACTCTTAACGAAAAATGTTTGATGTGTATACTAAAATATAATCTTAAAATCAAGTGTGAGATAGAGTATGTAAGTTACACACATTGCAATAGAAGAATGGTGGATAAGTAAGAAACACGAGACAGTGGTGACAGACAGTTGATTTTTAGTAAATACAAGTTGGAAGATGATATAACGTTAACCTGTATTTTATTATATGTCCAGATGTTATCCTGCGAATATTCTCGTTTATGAAAGTTTTCCAGACCGTAAGAAAATATAACCTTTACAAGGTTGAATATTAGTGCTCTTGACATATTCACTTAGAACGGGGGGTTAAAAATTTCACAACACCTACTTTTGTCTCCCTCTCAACAAGTACGGAGCTAACACAAAATTTACTCACAAAGAGGTCGTGTGTGACCGACCTCAAACAGTTGTCCCTTGGACACTGCGGTCAGGCTCCCAGGTCACTAAGACCATCTCTAATCCAATTTCCTTTTCAAGTACCTCCAGAAAAACCCTTCCACGGTGTGGGCTCCTGGGAAATGATAACCACCCTCATACCTCTAACAGCACTCAAGACCACTGTATTCATAATCAACCTCCCTCTTCAATTCCTATTATTCCTCCTACATCGACTTTCACCTCTAAACTTCCTTTTTCGGCTTCCCTTCAAGTGTCACCACAGCCAACGATTTTAGTGCTCAAAACACTGTCCCAGGTCTACTGAAACCTCTCTCCAAACTACACATTGGAGCCTTCAACGTACGAACCCTATGTTAAATCGGTCAACAGGCTTCCCTGGCTAGAACCCTAGAATCTCTTACCATTGATGTATGCTGTGTCTCTGAAACATGCATACAGGATCCCAGTGTGGTTATTCACTTGACTTCACCTCGGCAAAACGGAATGCCAATGAGATACACCCTCCGTGTATCTGGTGACCCGACGGCCAGCTCTCGTGGACTGGCAGGAGTAAGCATAGCACTAAGCATGAGGGCCAAACAAGCACTGCTAGAGTGGATCCCCGTTAACAGTCGTTTATGTGCTGTTCGGCTAAACGGCTCCGTAAGAACTCGGAAAGATAGGGACACACGTCGTTGCCTTTTCACTGTTTCTGCCTACGCTCCCACCGACTGCAGCTCAGATGAAGTGAAAGATGAATTTTAGAGAAAGTTATCTGAACTTCTTCAGAAAGCTAAACGCTCAGACATAGTACTCGTAGCAGGTGACTTTAATGCCTAGATAGGTAGTTTAAACCAAACGGAAAGGCATTTAGGTGGTTATTTTAGTATTCCGGCACAACGAACAGATAATGGTGATCGTCTGCTGCAACTGTGCTCAGACAATCGTTTATTTCTAGTAAACACAAATTTTAAGCATAAGGAGAGACATCGTCTAACATGGCGACCCCCTACACCAAACCAACGATGGACTCAAATAGACCATATTGCCATCAGTCATCGTTGGAGAGGGTCGGTAGAAGATTGTCGCTCATTGTGGAATACCTGCTTGGATTCCGACCATGCCCTAATACGGGCACGCATCTGCTTGCACCTCACTGGACGCAAAAAAGCCACACTAAAAAGAGCCATTAGAACTGAATTGAATAGCGAGAAAACGAAAAGTAGGTTCCAGGAACAACTGAGATCACAATTAGGTAGTTCTGAAAACGAGGTTGACCCAGATGTTGCTTGGAAAGCTATATAAACAGCTGTGGAAACAGCAGTGACATCTATCAGTGATTTAAACCACAGGGTTACAAAGAACCAATGGATTTCCTCTAGGTCTATTGCACTGATGAATTCTCGTAAATTCATCCCATCAGGCTCTGAACACGATCAGATCTAGGTTAACCAGAAGTCTCAGGAACGACCGTGAGCAGTGGTGGGCAACGAAAACAAAAGAGATGGAAAAGGCGGCGGCTATGGGGAACACAAGACAGCTCTACAGACTAATAAAAGAAACTGGAATTAAAAAGTCAAGTGTGAGACAGACTATTTCGGAAAAAGACGACACCCTCATCTGCTCCCAGTCCAGACGTTTAGAACGATGGGCGGAACATTTCAGAGAACAGTTCAGCTGGCCTTCAGCTACTCCACAACTACCCTCCATTCCCAGACAGTGTGAATGGAACATTGAAGTAGGTCCCCCAACTCTAGCAGAAGTTCAAAAGGCTATAGCTAATCTGAAACGAGAAAGGGCAGCTGGTCTAGATGGATTGGCTCCAGAGAACTTTAAGGATGGTAGTCCAATTTTAGCGACTAGGTTGACTAATATTTTAGCTAGACGTTTAGTTAGACGTTATTCTGTCTGACTGGTCATAATCACTTATCGTCCCAATATATAAGAGAGGGTCAAAATCATCCTGCGACAACCATAGAGGGATTAGTTTAACTAATATAGTATCTGAAACACTAGCCTCGATAATTATCAGACGCCTAACTAAGACTCGTGAACTGCAAACACAAGAGAATCAAGCTGGCTTCAGACCTGGTCGTGGCTGCATCGACCACATATTCGCCAGTCGTCAGGTTCTAGAACATAGGCATACTTATCGGCATTCGACAATGGTGGTCTTTCTCGACTTAAAAGCAGCATTTGACTCCGTAGACCGCGAGATTCTGTGGCAGTGTGTCATTGAAAGGCGTACCTCAGAAATACATAAACCTTGTAAAGGCTCTTTACTCGAACACTACTAGTCGAGTCAGAGCTTATGGCGAACTGTCATCTGCTTTTACAACCTCAAGTGGTGTCCGTCAAGGCTGTCCGCTTTCTTCATTTCTGTTTAACTCCATCATAGACCTATTGATGGAAATAACCTCCTCGTCGACTGAGTTCTCGGGTATTGATCTCCATCCAGGAGGTACACTTATCGACTTAGAATACGCAGATGACATAGTCCTGTTTGGTGAAGACGCTGACAAAATGCAGTCTTCTGGTAGCACTGAGCAACAATGCCAGAATGTTTGGAGTGCGCTTCTCTCCCTCTAAATGCAAGTTGTTGCTTCGGGACTGGTCTGCGTCAACACCTGAACTAAGGATAGGGAGTGAAGTAGTCGAACGCGTTGACAACTTCACTTATCTTGGAAGTCTGATCAGCCCTAATGGGCTGGTGTCTGACGAAATCTCAGCACGGATTCGAAAAGCTCGCTTGACTTTTGCCAACTTACGTCACCTATGGCGAAGGCGAGATATCAGTCTATCAATAAAAGGACGAGTATACTGCGCGGCAGTCCGTTCTGTTTTAATTTACGACTGCGAAACATGGTCATTAAGAGTAGAAGACACTCGTAAGCTACTAGTATTTGACCACAGATACCTCAGAAATATTGCTGACATCTGCTGGGATCACCGGGTAAGTAATAGTGAGGTTAGACGCAGGGTATTAGGGAATGATGGTGAATCAGTTGACGAGGTTGTGAATCTTCATCGAATGAGATGGTTTGGCCACGTGTTACGTATGCCCGAACACCGATTACCACAACGTGCAATGCTAACCGACGCTGGAGATGGTTGGAAGAAAGTTAGGGGCGGCCAAACCAAGACGTGGCATCAGTGCTTGAAGTCGCTAACTTGTAGTCTGAGCCATGTTGGTAGATGCAGACTACTTGGTTGGGGTCCGCGTGACTACCGTAACCAATGGTCGGAGACTCTTGGTGACATGGCTCAGAATCGACCTCCATGGCGTCAGTTTATACACTCTCTGTCTTCCCTTAAACTAAGAGATTAAAATTGCTTCATATCTTTCTTTCTACGAACTAATTCTTTCTTCCTGTACTATATCTTTCTTTTGTATATTACCACCTCTGAATTAACTACTTTTATGAATCCGGTGTCCATCTTGTTGTGTTAATGAGGTATGGCAACTTGGACCGATGCATATATGTGCCTGGTCCTACGTTGTAGCTGACTGACTGAGTTAAATATATTGTTAGCTTTTGTATTAATAACACTGAGACATGAAACTGCACCTAGCTATTAACTCACACTGAAAACTAGAATTTTATTTGTTCGTGCAATGTTTCTGCCGAAACGTTTCCCGGTTTTCTCCACCTCATATCCACCTTATGAAGGTATAAAACTGGCAAACAAAGTGAACAAATACCCTACTTAATTGAGCTGGACAAATTCCGTAAATGAGCCCTGATAGGAATAAACACCATCTCATATCAAACTATTAATTAGTAGTCTGGAGTGTCGACAGAAAATATTGATGGAGTATATACTAAGGATAGTCACATTTAGATTGCAAATTAACATTAGTTAACCCATCATTAAGACACTCATAACATTTGCGATTTTTTTTACAAAACACAACTTAAATACTAAAAAATAAACTTACATCACTTATGAAGTCAGTAACATTAGGTGTGTAATCAATTAAAATTGGACCAGGTGATAGATTTTCACATTGACGACGAGTTGATTCAGTCATAAGACTTAACAATGGCATCTCATACTTTAAAAGTAACACTAAATCACAATATTCATTTGACGTGAGACGAACACGACGACCGCTTGATAAGGGTATAAAAGCATCAGCTACTTCAATTCCATCTTGTAATAAACGATATCCTTCAAATTGTTTATCTTCAACTGAGGAAAATATTCGGACACCAGTGTTGACTATTTTCAATCCTAAACAAGGAAAGAATTTCAGTGAAGAGATAAGATACATCTGCCTTAAAGTATGACTGAAGCGAAGTCCCTAATAAATATATTTCTTCATTGTAATTAAAATAACTGTGACTGAAAATTCGAAAGATGGTGACTTATTTTGGTAAATACTAAGTCCTTATACAAACTGAGACAGAAGTGAACTAAAAAATTCAGTAATTAAATTGATTTGGATAACTACATCATCAGTCATTACAAGGCCTGTCACAAATGACTCCTAATACCAAATCGGAACATTCAGATGAGATGAACAATATTAGCTGGAACAAGTATTTCAATCACTATAGGTCTATTGAGTTATCAAGTACGTCCGACCATCATGTCAAGACAGCATTTACAGCCGAAAAAAAACACTTTACCATGATATCAAGAAATCTCGATTCAGTGATTTTATGAATTCACACTGTACAAAAATATTATAGTTTCGACTTGCGATTGAGTTATTTGGAATATCCAAATTAACATATGAAGTAATCGTATGGTAGGTAAGAAATGGAATTTTGAACAGGCTTTTGGGAGTAGCAAACTGTCTGCCTACCGAACGTGACCCCCATATGTCCGTATGTGAATCAGTTCCGTAACAAGTGAGTTGTATGCAATTTCATCCGATTACTGACAACGGAACTTTCCGTGGAGTCTTCGACTTAAACCATACATACCTGGTTTATTAAGTGTAAGAGCGTGCGTCAGTTACTAAAATCGGACCACAGAACACAATAAAATTGCATCGTAATACTTATTATTATTATTATTATCATCATCACAAGAAATGAATCTTTTGGGTTCGACTGATCTGTGATATTCCGTGAAATGAATGATAAGAGAAATAATCATTTTAGGTTATCAATCTGACCAATCGAAAGTTTAATTATGCTATAAATAGCTAGTAGAATAGTTCACGAAAACACAATTACAGAAATGTTAAAAATGTGCTTAAAAGTTTTCGATCTAAAAATGACAGGAAATATGCCGAATTGCACCAATCAGTGAAATATAGCTACTTAATTACTGGTACTTTTTATCAATTAAAATGTCTTATCAACACTTTTAGCGGTAAGTCATATAGAAGTATTAAACTAACCTCTTTCCTTATTTGTCGATACCATATTTTTGACAACACTATTTGTATAGTAGAGAAATCGACAGCGATTTCCTTCCCCACCAGAACGTGAAAGTAGATTATCTGCACAAAATGATATCAAAGATGATTCACCATTATAAGATGACTTATCCTTTATTTTATAATAATCACGAATTGTTAACCAAATTGGATCCAAAGTAGAATCTATATAAGTCAATCCATTTTCATGAAAGATACGTGATTTTTTAGCAACACATGGAGGTCCTTGGTAAAAGAAAAAAATGTTGAATGGTAAATAAAGATAATAGATGAAAATGCAAGAGAATTATTAGTTAAACAGGGTGGTGGGAACTGACATCTAAGGTTGAACTAATATATTGTGACTGTCCAAAACAATGGACAAGAAAAAGTTGCAAACTTACTTTTTAATATGACAACACTATATGGAATACAGAATTGAATAATTTGGGACATCTCTTTGAATCTATTTACTTGTAATACAATTAAATCACATACAAGTACAGATTTAATTTTGACACTAATCAAACATGAACAGTCAATGTGAAACTCGAGATCATAGTATCAACGTTAAATATTGTATTTTTCATATGATACACTTAGATACATAGGAAATATCATTATTCTTCTTATGCCATCGACGGCTGAAAATGAACAAACGTTTTCACAGTTTCCGAGCCCTGGTTGAGATTTTACAAGCAAAGCAGTTTTTCCTACAACACCTATACCTTCTTAAAATAATTTCGTCTACTTACAATTCAAATGTTTATAGTTTCCCGAGCTTTAGCGCCTATATTTAGCACCTTTCTAGAATTTTAATGAGTCGACTGAAATGCTTCCAACTATACTTCTTTGATGGTAGCACATGTATAATACAGGTTGATTACACATAAAATGTAGTATAAAATATGTAGTCAGTGCAATCGCGACAAAAACTCAAATCTTACCTGAATCATCTTTTGGTTCAAGCTGTTTGTCTGGTTGGTTGATTTGACTACTACTTACAGAAACCTCTCGCTTTGTAGCATTCATCCAAGGTAATGGTGCAATTTTCTCTAGAACAGCAATGAAAAACCCACCAGTGTTTTGATCATGAGGTAAAACACGTTTACAATGTTCCAAATGTAGATCTGATACATTAGATGGAGGAAATAAGGAAGGGCATATGTAATTCCGCTGGCTAAATTATTGTATGGTAAAAAGTAAATAACAAGTGATACTATTAAGAGCATTAGTGGCAATAATAAATCTTTTGCTTAAGTAAATGCAGCTGAAGACAAAGTTGTTTAACGAAGTGATTGAACGGCGTAACTATTATTAAATCATTAAATCAAAGTGGTATTCTTACCCCTTGGCTATGAATTGATTGTCTAGTGACTCAAACTGGAGGTGAACTGGATATGGTTTACTAACGAGATAACGGAGTCACACAGGAAAGATCGATTATCTATTTTGTAAGCAGTAGACGTTAGGGGTGAATGGTCAATCATGCTGAAGATGGCAACGATTGATATTTATTAAAAAGATCCAATCAATGGAAAACGCCAAAAACAAGCAACGTTCCTGGTAATTTTTCGAACGGGTTTGTGAAATTGTTGCGAATAGAATGGTTAGAGGTTGTGTTGAGCATCACGAAATAATAACCTACCTAGATGTGTGGGGTTTGCAGAGTTGGAAAACAGTAAAGGAAATCACAGGTTATGCAAACCACAACGACAGTGATTTGCATTGAATGTTTAAGAATTTAACTTCTGTTCACTGGGTTTCAGACCCAAATACACCTAATATTTTGATGCAGGGAGTCGGAAAATATCACTACCACTTACATACTTTGCTGTTCTTAATCACGATTTCATGTATCTTTCTGGTATTATTAGTTTGGCAGAAACGTAAACGATATTGAGTTTCGTGGACTAAAATGAAGTGACTGGATGTCCATCAAACAAGCATACTGATAAAGAGGGTTGAGGAGTTAAGAGATTATGCAATATATCTTAGTGAATACCTTCATTATATCTTAATGTAATTTAGGGTAAGGGAAATCAGAATAGAAATTAATACTTGAAGATGTTATTAGTCCCATGTAAAATCAGCGGTTAATAATAATAATAGTAAAAACTAGACTTTACTGCGGAATATGCAATGGGATAGTTTAAAACGTCTAGATACCCTGTGGGGACTTCGTCATATGACGTAAACCAAACTCCTTTTTTGTCCATGATACGCCAATCGCTTAAACCTGGTCTGAATTTAAATTTTCGTCTACTTGAATCCTTGTTTTCAAAAGAATCTGGTAATATTCGTTCCAAAAGATCCGGTTCGATTAACCGAACAGCTCCCTGACACGCGTGTAGCACTGAGGCCACAACAGCCTCATTTTCGACAGGATTAAAGCTACAAGTAGAGTAAACTAGTCGAGGATAGCTTGTAGAATCTCCAACTGGGTCGCGCAAAAGCTCCAAACCCCTCTTTAGGATTCTACATTGTAAAGGATGTTCACCAATACCCAGATTAGGCGACCATCGTAACCAAAGGTCAGGATTTTTGCGAAGCGTTCCATCTCCACTGCATGGTACATCTGCTAAAACACGATCGAACATTAGTTGGCGCAAATCTTTCTGACTAGTCTGGAAAACAAACGAGAAGTTTATAAATGAATCAGGAAAGATTAAGCTAGCAATTAACTCAAAACTTACTCCAATTTATAAAATACTGTTCAGTAACAAAATGTCTTTCGGGAAATGGTACATTTAAATTGTTTTTATATAATTCACGATGGGTATCAACAATCATCCGGTATATATCAGTTGGATACTTCTGTTACAATAAATTGATTATTGAGATATCAATTAACTTTATTACAGGTAAAACATTGATTCAACAAAAGCTTGATAAAGTAGCAGTTCTAGTGAAAACTGAAAGAACATCATCAAAATTATTAGCCAACTATATAGAGGCATATAGTAACTAAATTGGGGTCCGATGGATATGAAGTAGTATGTGGATTATGCTGACGAATTTACGTGACATTTTTTAGGAAGTAAACAGCTTGAGATAAATAAGTTCTACTCGCTCCAAAATAAATTTCACAATATGAAACTAGCATTTAGCACCATATTCTCGAAAGCAATCGTCAAGAAATTAATGTTTATTTGTATATAGCAACACAAAATTACCGACATCTTCATAAATAATCTGACTAGACGTACTGTGGTGTGCTACTTATATTGACATAAGTAGTATATGATGTTAGTCGTAAACATAAGGTCTGGAGGCAGAGAGACAAGAGGATCGAACAGTAAAGAATCGAAACAGGATGCAATTTGTATGAAAATGCAAGAACAATGAATTCTGAGTCATTTTGAGACAATCGGTGGACATTTTGCAAATTAAGCATTTACTTTATGATTGTCAGATTTTAGTAAGAAGTCCTGTAATTTTGTGTCAAATACATTCGATTGTCCCCATTCGTGTTCTGTTCACTACCGTACTACTTTGTGAGAACATGGCAACCGCCAAAATATTCCCTTGCCAAAGTATTGTTCAGTGAGTAAGCGTTTCACTCACCAAAGTTTTTCTTAACACAAAACAGGAAATGAATAGGCAAGTTAATAAGAATTAAGAGTAATTCACTCTAATAAAGGTAATGATTAGTAAAATCTAAAAATCCAGGAAATTGCAAGAATAAGAAATTAAAATCTATTTGAATTCATTTATCGGTGAGTTCCATTTGCTTTAATTTATTATTTATAAAATCTTATGATGAACAAACCTTTTCATCTGGTGATAGAGTTATATACAGACGTGGGAAGCATGTAGCGTCCTCTTGAGTTATCACAACACAAGGGCTTTGTAAACGTTTCACTTGATGAACCATCATATAACATCTTTTCTGATCAAAATCATTCGCAATAACCATTCCTGTAGGTTCAACATACTTTGGCGCATTTTCAACACCAATTCTCGATTGAATTGCTTCTGCATCAGAATGTAGCAATTCAACGAGTTGTGCAGATTTGGACCCAGGTGCAGCACATAAATCAAGGATTGTATGGTGTGAGCGCACATCTAAAAGAAGCGGAGGTAGCATACTCACAGCCTCTTGACGACTGATGTTACCTAAAGAGTAATTAAATATTAATTGGACGGTAATAATAAGTGAGATACAGTTGCAAATACAAGTAAGCCCTATTCACTACTGTGTATACAAATCTAATAAAAGAAATAAGTAATACCTGTTCACTGTTTGAAATAAAAACTAGTTGAAGTTTCCGAACGAGTAAGAAGTAGTTTACAAATTACCAGTGACAAAAAATCGAAAACTCCTCGAATGAGTCTTCATTACAAGAAATCATGACAGTTATGACTAATGTTTTAAGTAATGTCCTAATATTTCTTTTTTTTTACAGTCACATCCAAAATAGAACCAAACGATTATGTCAACATTCGTCAAAATAAGAACAAATAGTTTAACAAAAATTAGCATCCTGTGTATAAAAAATATGATGTGCAAATTATACTCAAAATAAACTCAACAATCAAAATTTAAATAATTCTGTTTCATTCAACAAACTAGTCTAAGTTGATTCACGGGAATAATTGAAATTGTCTCAAGTATTTAGGTTCCTTCAAATTTAGTTTGGTGTTTTATTTCCAATCACTGTAGTTCTATTGCTGATCTATTCTCAAGTCCCTAAGGTTTCCAAAGAATCCAGGAACAAGTATTAAGTATTTTATATGCTCTTTCATCCTTACATTTAAGTATTTTGATGTATTTCTCATGTAAAAAACATCACATTTGTAACATTTAGATTAATCGGCACAGTCTTGTTGCTTCTTCCTTGGTATTACATTTTTCACTTCTACTAATGCTGATATAATGGCATCATTAGTTCGAAACTTTTTAATCTCCCGTATTCGGAATCTTTTTTGTTTCTTCCGATGTTCCTTACAGTACAAAACAACTGTTTTTTTAGTCTCTCAGTAAACATTTTGATTGATTTTTCCTTTCATTATTAATAACATTTTTTGATTCCCAAATGCCCTGTTACGACCGAGGATGGGGAGAGTCAGCTCTTCCTCTCGAGATGCTCTCACATGACCACGCATATACAGCCACTGCCAGGAAAGTCCTACTCGCTTCCTTCTCGCGACAGGGTGTTTCTCACGAAATTGAGAGGAAAAAAAGCGAATGTCAGGCGCTGTAACCGGGTTGATTAGTGGACACGGAGCACCCACCTAGGGAAGTTGGTAAAACCTTGATTCCAAACCAATGGTGCACATGGGCTCCACGATCCTGAGGGAGCAAATGGGGTATGAACTTATTGTTGGTCACCGGCTACTATGGGACTGCATTTCCTAACGTTACCCCACTGCCTTGTGGATTAGTCCTCTAGGTCAAAGGTTAGGGGAGCGGTCCTCAAGAAAACCACCTGCTTCAGTCTATGCACTCGGGAAGTATCACAGCCCACACATAAAATGAAATGACAATAATTACAGTAAATACTGTTCTTGCCACATCTAAAATCCAAACAACTCACATTCATTTTTATTTTTTATATACTACATCACTTATCTACTTCCTTTTATTCCCACTTCGTGTATCCTTATTTTTCAACTTATATAGAAGCTCGCCTATAGTAGAAACCCTGTTCTATCTAAGCAATCTTGAGTCACTGAATGGTCGGAAGTTGAATGCTACCACCGAATACTGGAAGTCATTCTGAAACCACATATACCATTCAGACTGGCTTCCTTCAAAGTTGTCACACTAATGTAGATCGGACAACAGATAGTTGGTTATGTCATTAAAAAGTCTTAATATCGACGTCTGTTGTCTATCCGAGACCCGTATTCAAGACTCTAGTGAAATACTACAAATTCGCTCTCTATCTGTCGCATCGAAATGCTTGTTTTACGTGAGTTTATCCAGGGACCGTGTGGTATCTTCGTCTGGTTTTTCTGGCGTTTGTGTCGCACTAAGCGCTAGAACTGAGGCAACAATGATCGATTGGATCTCCATTACCAGTCAGTTATGTGCTGTTAGATTAGAAAGTTCCATCAAAGTAAGAAGAAATCAGTATGATAAACGATGTCTTTTCGTCATATCCGCCTATGCTCTAACAGATAAGATTAAGTTTACAAATTCTGTTTATCAGGTTCCCAATAACTGTGACCTTCGTCGACAGAATTTGTGCTGACTTATAATTTAGATTCTTTCAGGATGCGCCGATTTCCGGAATAAACAATTTATACATTACTGTTGTCTTATTTCAAATAAACAATCCGTAAATGATTGTTGGGTGTGAGGATGAAAGAACGCAAACAGTATTTGAAACATATTCCTAGATTCTCTGGAAAACTCAAAAAACTTGAGAATAGATCAAGAATACCGTTACACTAATTAACAAGTAAATATATAGACAATAACGTCCACCCCCACCTATATCATCCGAAGTTTGATTCTAATAAAAATGGTTGCTTAATCAGTTATTTTTAATCACTTTTAACACCACAACCAATCTTAATTTATACACAATTAGATCAGATTATTTTAAGCATGTGTTCTTAGGTTTATAGTACATAAACATGATTAATGTACTCGGTCATAACTAGAGGAATCATTTTTTTATTGGATTCTAATAACAATAACATACATATTCACATACTCATACACATCTCACACTGCAAACGATCTTAACGTTAAATGTTTCATGACCTAACTAAGCAAAACCAAACAGCTGAACATAGTTGTCATGCTTTCAAGGTGGTTTTGTTCCTTATTTATTCTTTAGTAATTTAGTCTTGATTATTTCCCCGAATTTCAGACCAGAACGTCAGAATCATTCAAATTTCATAGCTGAAATTATCCCAAATATAATTCTTTACATAAAATATTTAAGCGAAGATTAGCTATTAAAGAAACGTAAATAAAACTCAATACTTTCAGAAACTACAAACGATGAGTCCCATTCGTCAAAAATTAAACGTTACTGGTTGAAATATCTAAAATTGCTAAGTTTAATAAGACGATAGATAAACGTATGGTGTAATAATAATTACTTTTTACGATTCAAAACAATGGATTAGTATAGACGTTTAGGTTAATATGAAGAATTAAGCAATCAGTATTTTGTCCCAACAAACCTCATGTTGTAATGATGTGAATTATGAATTCTGTTAGTCAGTGTAGATAGTTGTGCAATTATTGGAAATAGATGCACAAAACACAAAACCACTGTAAATGAGCTGATGTGATCGATACAAATGTGATGTGATTCATTAAATCTCACCTGATGCTTAGTTCTGTATGAGTCATACTGAATGTGAGAGCTGGTGATATTACATAGTTTCGGAGGTCGAAATAGGTGGACAGAGGCTTGAGTATAGGTCTTAGTGGCCGAAATTTGAACATAACCACTAAATAGACATAAATTACTCCTAATTATACTAATATCTAAACTTGTGGATCGACTTTTAAACCCGTTTCTTAATAGTTCTAAACAAGTAACCGGTGTTACCTGATATTTACACCTTTACTAACTCCCATCCTCTCATTGTCAAACAATTCTTATGATCGTTATGCTGACTTAATAAAAATTTACTTAATACCGTAGTTTATTCCATACAGACTCTATCGAGAAGTGTATACCACTTAATTGGAGATTCTATTTGGGTACCGTTAATCAGGTTACAGTTAGAAATAAACTAACTTTTGAATTGGCTATATTGAATTGTGCCTGTCAAGGCTGTAGACTTTCCCCATTTTAATCTTTATCATAGATATACCTTTGTAAATAACTAGTTTGGCATCTTGGTAACAAATTATTTTTTGTTTAAGAGGTTCTCATAATTTTGGAGTGCACAAATGAAATACTTCTATTTCTCAAAGACCGAAACATTAAATATAATTTTTGAACACTAAAGAGCAACAATGAAAAAATGTGTAACTCATTTATCTTTTTCAAAACGCACACTAATACTTTAGAACTAGTGCGGAATAATATTCGTTTAGGCATTATAGACTGAACTAGTCGAGGGCATCGATCACATTAATTATACCGAGTTTTACCAGATTGGTAGTTCTGTGACGGACAAAGTCCCTGCACACAAAATGTTATTTCTGACTAAAAGGTGAGATATTTGTCTTCCTATCAAAAAACCACGAGTGTTGTGCTACCATACGGCTGTAAACTTTAGGACGGTAGAGAACATCTATAGACGGAAAGCATTTGATAGTTCTTATATTTAAGGCATCGCTTGCTAGTGGCGAAAACACTGATTGGTTAGTAGTGGTTCGGGATGAAGAGGTGGTTTACTTTGGTTGGTAAGGTTCGGACCTAGATTTGGATAAGGTGTTTAAAACATATGCTATGCAGGTTCAGTTGTGGGGCTTTGGGGTGATTAAGGCGAGTATATTCAAAAACGCTAGTAGTCGAAAGATTAAATAAAGGCGCCAGTCCGAAAATTACTGACTTAACGTAATATGAACCAGGGATTCTTAAGTCCTAGTTGGGGTTCGCAAGGCGGACTGTCAAGCTCGGCGAAGACGGTAAAGACCCGTTCTTCTTTTTGTCACAAACAGTTTTATTTAGTGTAATTCTTCTCAAAATTAGATTCCTTTTCGAATTTATTTAAAGCTTAGTTTCTTAACAGTCTATTTTCGAACTCAGGTGTAATCGAAGTTTGAAGTTTAGTTGTTTAATGTCATTTGTACGTAAATAAAAAACTGCCCTAAATTTAAACCAGTAGGGAGAACTGCAAGGCAACTACTAATATTGAGCAAGAACGAGTAATTAGATGATGATTCGTTGCACAGAGATGTAAATCAATTTCCATAAGATAATTTATTTGAAAAAGCAACAATTCCTGAAAATGAAACAAGCAGTAAGTAGGAAATTATGTTAGCTTTAGAGGAACACATTGTTGCAGAAGTTTAGTTTACCTGACTCTGTTTCAGACACCAGAAATTGATGCAACGTCCGGAGTTCCTCTGTTTTGCGAACCGCATATTTACTGACACTCAGTTGCCACGCCATTTCATTCGGATACCAAGGTAATGATTCAAAAGTACCATTAGTCTGATCTTTTTCATCACACATATAATGTTGCATCTCAGATATATCTTTCCGATACTTTTGTTTGATAAGTCGTAATAATTCCTTGTTTTGATCTCGAAATCCTGTTACCCGAAATGTGATAGGCAGATCTCTTTTCAAATAGCTGATGAAATCTGCCCATTCATCCTCAGGAACGATTCCCAGACTTTTATAATACTTTTCGAACAACTCATTTTGTTTCATTTCAGGTTTAATATGCTGTCTGCATTGTAATGTCGGTCTACGACGACCCATAATTCTTTAATAATGTCTAGTCAAATCTATACAACACAGAAAACGAATCAATGTGTAAGTTACTATTAACAGTTTATCTATTTTTACTAGAGCCAAATTCAACAATTGAGTAAACTATTGCGATTTTTTTCAATTCTAGAAACCCTAAAATGACAGTGATCAATAACTTAACGAACTTGATTTGTATGAGTATTTATTTGTATAAAATATACCTGACTTGCAACTTTATAATTAGTTTGGTCCCACTACGATAATAAATCCCATAATGTGAAAAGACTACAAGTGCTTGTGAGTATATATTAAATGAAGACTTCATTCATTAACATCTGGTACTGTTCATGTAAAACATAAGGTCTGGTGCGTAAACATTATTTTGGAAGAGATGAAGTTTACCTCTTGAGGTTTTAACATAAGTATGGCAGAAACTGTCTATAATGAAGTTAGATGACTACGGGGTAAAATGAAAGCTATGAGTGCGTATTTCGGACGTACGAAGGACAAGCAAATTAGAAGCATATGCCGAAAAATGCGTAACACGTTTGATGGTTATATAAAAATACCTACGCAATAAAGACAAACCAAGGTATATATGCAGAAAAAGAACAATGATTCTACTAGGAAGGTCTTCATAAGGCATTGGCTAAATACAACATTTAAATCCTTCAACGAAGCTTTGCTCGCAAGCATTTGATAGTAACTGGTTATTGTAAACGCAAATCAATTAGCCTAACATTTAACTTAAGTTACTTAAGGTAGAAATAACTACATTCTAATATCAGAACATTCAGTTGATATGTGAGCGAAAGGATTTTTTCAACCTGTACTATCAGTCTCTTACATTTGGGAGATCCGAAAGTCACTATTAGCTGAAATCTGCTTAGAGTGGAAGAAATAACATTCAACAAACATTCAAGTTGAATGACTTGATTAGTGAGAAAGTAGTTACTAACATATGCACGGACTAGTTTTTGGTTTGCCAAGTCAAATCACACATTTTTAACCATATGACCAAATTGATTTCTGATGCAATTAACTTTCGAATATACGTAAGAGATAAGTATTCACGAGTAGACAATAAGCCAATCCTCAAATACTATGAGGAATTCGTGAGTAATTCGTTCGTAAGATAGGAAACTACACAGGGTTTGTATGGTCATAAATTTGTGTTTTAGTTGAATAATCCCTAAGTGTTGTAGTCCCTTAAATTTCACAACCACAACCTTTTAGATAGAGACTCACGGCACATACACTTAACTTATCTCAACAAACGCTTCCACAACCTTTACCAAGGTTGGCACAGCTGTGTCGGTCAAATTATGGTGAAACTATAATTTATGGACGAACTAATGAATTTAAGGATAGCAAGTCTTGGATCCTGTCACAAAACTCACCCATCCATAAAGCTGAATAGCTTTTTGACACTATATTTTAACCTTAAATTCTAACCCTAATTCCAACAGACTTTCCAATGTTAATATGACTTGCCACGGTTGAAGCACATGGACTAGTAGCGGCACTACCGTATACGGCGCGTTTCTGATTTCAGAATCAGATTTGTGTACAGGGCCACGGTCTATGTTATTCCTTTTTTAGTGTGCTTCTGTTAGTGTCTAGTCTTCTCTTGGATGTATCAACTGAAGGTGAGGACATCACTGCTTCGGGTAACAGGTTCCAAAAATTGGTGACTCGGTGTGAAAATATGTATGCCGCATGTATTTTATTCGTTTTTGGCTTTTCCACTCGCCTGCTATGCCCCCTGAAATGTGGGAAAGAAAGAGAGAATATACTCGGTCCAGAATCATTTCTTAGTAAGTTACACATGAAAATCGGATAACCTCCTGCGATAGGACAGAGGAATGAAGTTGTAGATCATCAGTGTTGATGATCTGTCAAATGATTTGAGACCTAGTTGAGTTAGACGGTATTGGTGTAACCAACAGCTAACGTCGAAGTCGCACCTAGAAGTCGGTACCTAGTGTGAATTACCACTTCGTCGTATCAAGGTACTATGGATGCTTTGAAGACCGTACAACTCGAAGGATGTTATTACAGAAATATATTAGTTAAAATTAGTACAAACGAAAGTTTGACCACCACCACATGGGCCATTTAATGGCGTACGATTAACTGATGCGCGTTGGTTGTTCTTGACTTTGACAGGGATCGATGATCTGTTCGACATTTAGTGACCCAACTGATTTGGCTGGGGTCCAGTGACATTTCACTCACCCTACAAGGTCTAGCTTCTCGAGCTGCTCTTTGTATGGTAAACCCCGGAGTTCTGGAATCGATCGGCAGCCGCCTTTTGTTTTTTCTCAGGATATCCTAGTCATCTTCTAAACAGAGGCTTGCAGCCTGATCGCAGTTTTCAAGCTTAGTTCCCATTAAGGTTGTGTATACTGTAGTGAACATGGTAGTATCTGACTTGGTGAATCTCCGTCTTAAAGTCCATGGGGTCCTACACCCCTTAGATGAAACTTTCTGAAAGCGGGCAGTTGTCTTAAGATCATGACTCACTGTCACTCCAAGACCCTTATGAGACCGAATCACGGCTACAGGCACTTCCATTATGCTATGCCTTTGTATCCTCAATCCGCATGTAGATAGACTTCGCCGCATTGATAGTCACTAGCCACTCTTTAGACCAGCCAATCTAATCTGATCTAACCTTGCTACAAGAAGGCTTTTTGTGAAAGATAAACCTTTTCTGAAACCATGTTGTTCTTTGTTTAACAAGTTGTTGGTTTCCACAAATGTCATTATGATCTTTTCGACTATTCTTTCCAGTTTTTTAACTGCAACACCAGTGAGGTTGACAGGTCTGTAGTTCGATTGAAGTTGTCTTGATCCTGTTTTATGTATTGGAGTGACAATTGCATCCTTCCAGTTCATAGGTAACACATCTTGGTCAAGTGACGTATTTAATATGACAGTTAGTAGGGCTGCAATATATCATGCAATTTTCATCGGAATTTCAGGGTGTAGTTCACTCGGTCCTGTTGACGTTTCCGTGTCTACGGTGCTAAGAGCCTGAAGTACATTGTCTTGATCAAAGTTCGAGGTGGGCAGACGGATTTTTGACTTTGTATTTGGGTCTAGTTCTTCGTCCAGAATAGGCTTCTAAGTGAAAACTGTGCCAAAATAGTTTGCAATAGCCTCTGCTTTGCCTTTATCATTCTCTATCTTTTCAGATACACTACCTTTATTAATTTGGGAATCCAGTGCTACGTTCTCGTTCTGTAATTTATGTACTAGAATAGTCTCTTAGGCTCCTTGATTACAGATTGTACCAACTGCATTTAATATTTTTTCTGAGCTTATTGGATTTCAATTATAAACTTAGCGTTCCATAGCACCTGCTGTATCAAGGCTCATGGCAACGTTCCAACATTTCTTCTTTTGTCTTACTAAACATCGAATACATCGGTCTATCCGGGAATGGCCGTGCTTCTTCTTTGGGACTGTTCAGCATATATATTGTTGAGTTACCTAATTGTATAGCTGCCTGAAATGAATCTACACCTCTTCCGCTGGTGCCCCTGAGTCAGCTATACAGTTTTCAACCGACTCTGTACACCTTATCGCCTTCATATCTGCCTTCCATATGTTAGGACAAACCGGTGCAACTGTTTGACAGGCCATGTTAGCCATGAACTTGAATAAGATGACTGCATAATCACTCTGCACTAGAGGTGGTAGGAAAGTCATCTGACCGGCATCATCACTGTGTGTGAAGACTAGGTACGAGAGAGGCGAGGAGCTTCGTAAGTCATATCTGGTGGGATCTCTAATGCGATGTAATAAAGCTAGTTCAACTGTAGTTTCCTACAGTTTGCAATCAAATGACGTCGATGACCCTACATCTAAGTTTACCCAATTTGTATACAGTGCATTAAAGTCTCCCACTATAAGGCTTTTACCCCTACAACACCAGGACTTAAGTTTGCTTACGAGGAAGTCATCTACCACACATTCTGGACTGCTGTATACTACAACTAATTCAATATCGTGCGATCTACATGTCAGCCTGCAATGCCCCAGTCCACATATCACTGAACCATGTGCCACTGTTTCAACAGCTCGTATGGTTAAGGTACATTTTGTAAACAGGAGAATTACACCTCCTCCACGATTTGTCTATCAGCCCTACCGGATAGAAAACCAGTCACCTGAATATCACTACCAAGCACTTCTGACGTTAACTATGTTTCCAACACAGCAATTACATCCGGTTTTTCTATATTCACCGTTGTCCTGAGCTTCGCCATTTTATTGCGTAGGCTGGAATAGTTTGTGTAGCTCACCTTTGGATCTGTATGGAACTTTCCCTGACCAGCCAGAGTGTTTTGGGGGTCATTTTGCTCCGAACTTTTGCAACTTGAAAACCACTAGGTATGAGGTGTTTTTCACCGTTTCAGCGACGCTTTTTTATCTCTACTTCTGCCGATCATCTCTCAATACGGTCAATCAGACTAAGATCCTGAAGGACGTGTATCTCGGATCCAATCAGTTTGCATGAGTTTCCTAGTATCAGGTTTCTTTCTCCGGCCAAAGCAAAGGTAACCTTCAAGGAGCAGCTTTTCTGACCACTTTCAGAATCCACTTTTGTCCTGTTCTATAAAGCTTACAGATGCTGACTACTGAAACTGTTTCTGAGAATGGCATACTTGTCGAGGACTTGACATGTCTGCGGTCGTGCTCATCTTTTTCTTCTGAAGATTCTCATAACTTATGAAAAATAACCGACCTGTCAGTGAGATGCGTTTTAACATGCTGTGGAATTTTAATCTCTGAAGTCTTGTCCTTGTGGCAATCCGATTTGGCGTTAAACGCAGAGGTCCCACTCTGTTTTCCTACTTTCCTTTTTCTAGGTGTGACTGTAAGCCAGTCAGTTTTCTCATTTTGTCTCTTGGTCACAGCCTCTATACCACTCAGACTTTGCTCCTTCATAGTCTGTTTTGCGTTGATATGTGAATAGGGGACTGAGACCATAGATTCACATACCTCGGTACTGTCTATAATTAGTTTCTTTTCAGTGTGCTTTTTATTTTTCCTTGTAATGAGGCCCACTTTATGGTCTCATTCAAATTTAGAGCTGGGCTCGCTATTCCTTCTTAAGCGGAATTCCGCTTATCTACTGCCACCTGTTTATCTGAGAGCAATTTTCTAGCTATGTTTAAAAGCTCGATCGCCACGAGAATCAGCAGAGGATTTTTAGAACAGCATGCTTTACACGACCAACGTGATGATGGCTTGCAGCACTTCTTATATGCAGCCGGTGTAAGTCCGGTGCACACATTGTGATACCACTTATTTTAGTTGTCACATTGTATTCCACCATCGACAAGGAAATAGCATGCAAGTTTGCCACAGCAGTGTTCTGTTTGCTCCATAAATTTGTTTTGTGATCTCACAAGGGGAACAACAGCGAAAAAGCGTCTTTTAAGGCTTGACAGGTGAAGACACTGAACACAAACGAAAACAGAGTAGGTCGGTCGACCTGAGTTAATTTTCGAGATATGAAACGAGTGACTTCGTCCTGCGCCATCATTAGTGTCTCAAATGCTCAAGAGGGATGTAATGTTGTGGTTCCAAGAAGCTCTCAACTTTACGTAGATTTATTCCCTGCCACCAGTTGCACGTCGCAAAGCAACCTCCATAAGGCGCACAGACTATCATATTGACAGTATGGGTCTTACTAATACTATCTACATTCATATTTGAAAAGTGTTATTCCCCATAATTCTATGACCAGTGTACCTCATAAAATATAAACCTAACCTTGTAATCTACTACAGTGAAAGCCATATCTTCTGTAACAATTTGACCTTGTCTGTAAACTGCCATGCCTCAAATGAAAGATAGTTATTTGGCAATCCACAAACTAAAGCCTGAACTTGCGTGCAGAAACGATTTGTCCAACCTCTTATCCTTCCTTGGCATTAATGGGTATGTTTCTAGGTGTTTTTTTAATGCACTTTTATTATTATCCATATTTTAAATTGCTATTTTGCACTTTAAACTTTAATCATTTATTATTATTACCTTTTACAAGTTTTCTTGATTATCATTCAGTTCATTATTATGACTTTTGTTGTTTTGTTCGTTTTTCTTCATATCTGTCAATCTGTCAATTGGACTATTATCTGACCCTTAAATTTTGTTCTTACTTACCCCTTGATTAGTACGTTAACCTCATTTGTTATTTATTGTCGAATCCATTTTTGTGATACAATCCTTTCTATCCTTCTATAGACATACATTTTCCATATAACTATATGTACGAATGTACAGCTTAAGTAAATGACTTCGTCGAAACGAAAAGTTTCTTCGCTGAATTCTCTTTTTCTTATTCAATGACACTATGGATTATTTTAATTATTATATGTTTTGCAGTAAGATCCAAGTTTGTCCTGAAAAGCGTCTGCTTATAGGGCTGATATCGCTTGCTCTGGTAAAGCATTCCAAACAGTGACTACTCTACGAGAAAAACAAAGTCTCACCGAGAATTTATGCGGTACAGCCTTCGGGAACATTTTTATTG